AAGTTTAATGCAATTTTGCAAAAACATTGAACATCACTCAGTTCGTACAAAATGATGTTTGGGCACACACAACGTCAATGTTCCATTAAATTATGTGATTTTTTCTAATTTGAACATATCGATGGAAATTTGAAAAAGACGACGTGAAAAAATTCCAAACGAAACGCAAAAATTACAACCAAAACCAAAACTGAACGAAGAAAAAAAAAACAGTATACAATGTTTGATTCGGGCCACTAGCTTAGGCAATTCAGTTGTTGTACTTGTGCCAAACACAACACCCGATAGCGCATATCGATTCATTGCACGTGTACGAGAGAGCATTGGTGCGCGTGGATGGCGCATTGTTTGCGCGCATTTCAATCGATCGATCGAATCAACGAATTAAACTCAGAGAAAAGAGAGAAAAAAAAATGCTTCAACTGAAATATTTATGGTTTGTTTCTATTTTTTACGGTGATTTCTAGAATTTTCTGTGTCTTTTTATGGTGCGCTTGGATGTTGCAATAATCACAACGGTTTATTTTTATTATTTGACGCTGAAGATTAAGCACTTTTTGCTAAGCACGCCGTAGATTATTGCGCCAGCGTACGTTGTCACATGTGCGAGCGCACACACATACACAGTACCAGCCAGCCCAGCATATGCACAGAAAGAGAACATACTGATGGCAACAGCCCAATCGGTGGCAAAGCATTCGACGAGCACGAACAATGGTTGCAATTTTGAAATGCAACCATTTCTATTGGTTGGCAATCGCATGGAATTGAAAATTGAACGATACGTGTGTCTGTTTGTCGCGCACACGCTGCGCGACCACTCGTTGTCGATGAACCGTTTTTTTTTTCTATACCAATTTCGCAATGAGACCAAATTCTCTCGGTTCACTTCAGTTCAATTGGCAGATTCTGTGTGCACGCATTTTTTCCCCCTTGATCATTCCATAAATGAGCCCATTTCAAAGCGCCAAAACAACGACGCAATCATGAATGTCACACTTTTTGTGACTGCCTGCCCGACATCATTTTAAAATCAAGCATTTCTCGCTTTTCTGGCTTACTTTACTAATTCTATTGCCTCTCACTACTGCCTGGCCGTTTCGTTGCCACCGTTTTGGTTGGCTATGATTGCTGCTACTTTTCTCAATAACGAACAACAACAAAAAAACGCCACCATCCATCTACGGAAATTGGAGCCATTGTGTATCAAGTGGCATATGGATGCGAGAATTGAAGAGCAAACAAATTAAACAAAACAACGAAAAATTCACATGACGTGAAATAATCTCGTAACGTTCAATGATGTCTTTAGATTTTGATCTGACTTTGAGATACACGTACACCGCAGCAAGGTGAATGAAAGAACGAGATGACGATGTTGACGTTGATGACGACGATGACGACGAAGGAAAAAACAGTGTAATTCGCTGCTTGAGGTGTTACAATTAGCTCAATTGCGTACGCTGATTGAGTCGTTGAAACGATTGCATGATTCCATTCTGGTTCTCTGTGCTCGCACTATGGCATTTAATTTTGCGCTTGATCGAGGCAAATCATTAGCCAAAAAACACAAATGAATGGAAATAATAGAAGATCGAGACCGAATTTAAATCGTGTAAATTTAATGATCAGAACCGGTAGGTTTTGTTAGCAACTCACGCATTCGACATTATATCGTTTTGATGGAGCCAATTTTCTACACGATGTCGTCTTCTATCGCACGCAAATACAATTCACCTGCAAGAGAAGCGACTGAATGGCGGTTTTATGCCACAATGAATTTCCGGTTTCAGGACAAAATTGACAAAACAAAAAGCGAGGGAGAGAGAGAGAGAAGCAGCAGAAGTCATTTTTAAACTCAGTGATTTTTTTTAGTTCGATTGGACCATGTAACTGAAACCAAGTATGGCTGGGTAGTGATCACACTTTTCGCTGTTAAACTCAACGACTTCCTCGTCTGGAGCATGGACCGAGAAAAGTGGCTTCGTGTGCGCTTATTTCCACCAATTTTCACACATTCGTTCGGTTAATAACGACGATGACTTTGGCTTTGAAGCGCCATCACAAAACTCGGAAGTTTCCGGATTGTTTTTGTGTGTCAATTGTTTGTCCCTTTTGTACAGAAATACGGCTGTGGCGACGATCACGATTTTCGGATCTTTATCTTGCTGGTTGATCCGGAAAAAAGTGAACACACAACAACCGAAAGTTTGGCATCGCAAAACAGCAGACAATTTCATAACGGCGAATGCCGTTTACCATATCGCCATTTTTCGATATTTGAAATGTCACGTGTGTGTGTGTGTGTGCAGTGTATGTGATGCATCTGCTTTTCAATTCAATTTTGGGTTGATCGCTTCGATAACCCGCTGCATAATCTTTCGACCTATTCTCTGCAGCCAGTTTCTTGGTAAAAGTTGTCGATACTGCTATGCTCCTACTGCAATACTGCTGCTGGCATATTCAAAGTGGGACAAACTATAAAATTAGACAGCAAGAAAAAATGTTCCGTAATCTCAAAAGACGATTACGATTTCAAGCGAGAGAGAGAGATGGAGGCAAGAAAAAAAATAATAATATTTATAAAGCAACAACAGACGATCGACGAAAAAAAAAACTTTCTAAATATTTTACCACAATGTTTTCATCTTGTGCGTGATAATTTCGCTTAATGGCCATTCAGCGAACAATCGCACAAGAATAAAAGCAGAAATTATTACGTGTTAGTGTCATATTCTGTGCGCATTTATTTTTCTTTCGAATTTGTTGTATTTACTATGATTACATTGCATTAATTTAATCCATTTCGTTTCTCCTCTTCCTCTCTTTCTACTCTCTGCCGTTTTAATGTGCGTTTGTCTGTGTGGCTCGCGCGCGCGCACAGCGGTAGAAAATAAAATCGAAAAATTTCTTCGCTTTCGGCCGATTTTTTCTTTTTTTTTGTTTTGGTGTTTTTTTTTGGTTCTCGTGCATGAAATGTCAAAAACCCGAAAATAAAATACCTGATTCCGTTCACAACATGAAATCCGAAACGGATAAATGCGTAATATTAACACCTTCGTTCGGCATTTTCGCAGGTAGATCAACAAATCAAAGAGAAGAAAACAAAAGCAACAACGAAAGAAAGAAAAAACCGTATCAACAAATCGTTTTCCCTCTCGCTACCTGGCCAATGAGTAACGGTAAATGCTTTGCAAACCAAATAAAAGTAACGTTTTTCATAAATTTCATTTTTTTTTCTCTTCAAATGTGTGCGCGCGCACATCGCACACACGCTCTCATTGCCTTCGTTTTTATTTCTTCTTTTCATTTGCTGTTGCTGTTGTGAATGCTTCATCAACGGGGGTCATTAAAGAAATTTTTCTTGTTTTGTTTACATTTTCATTTAATTTGTTGTCATCGAATGAGTGTGTGTGTGTGAGCTTTGCCGGTTTCATTTGTGTACAATCATTATTACGTCGGTTTTATTATATTGTACACACATTTTTTTTTTTAAGTTTTAGCTCGCATAATGTCACGCATGTTCGCCGCCGATATGGTCAAATAGCGCACGCGTATGCGCCAGCGAACGATGCGATATCAACAGTAAACAACAGAAGAAAAAAACATATCGTCGAGTAATATGAAAACCATTAAAGTAAAACAATTGCAGAGAAAATGACAAGCAAAAGATCATTTCAAACGGAAGTCGAGTGAAAATTAAATCGCATTGTCTTCTACACTGAAATGGCGCAATAAAGCCGAACTGTGTGCGCCATCACTCAAAAATAAAACACATTTCACATTACATTAAGTATCATGACCGGCGATGACGACGTTTTTCCGGATTGCTCGAGTAATGCGAGATCCAAATGGAGCGGTTGTCAAGTGATTTCAAAGAAAAAAGAGAAACAGTACTGATCGTATTGTCAGTCATGAGCGAAAAAGAAACAAATTTTGCGTGTAGTTCGGCAAAGTGATAGCGAGAATCACTTCATAATGACAGCACGTACACATCCTTTGCATAATATGCGCAGTTTGTCGTTTCCATTTTCGGTTGGTGTGACCAACTCTTTTGTGTCTTTGTACTCTGGAACTCTTCTATTTTTACTTTTTGATTTTTAATTAACTATTTACTGTTTGCGATGCTATTGAACGATGAAATCATTTTTTCCATTGATAAACGCTTCAATAAGCACTAGAAACGGCTTCTATATCCAGTAGAAACATCAGTATGATACTTGACTTACATATTTATTTGAAGTTGTTTGTTCGTTTCTGTTCAATTGATAGCCGGTGACTGGCATTTGAATATTCTAATGCTAATTTCAAATTTCAAGTGGTCGATACATACAGCTCGAATATGGAAAACATAGCTTTATAATGACAACATATCCAAATTTACATATTAAACTCATCGGCTTTTGTTGTAAAAAAAACTGCACATTTTACTGAGGATTGTAAAGAAGACTTTATTATCGTTTATTTTATTGGCATCAATTGAACGCGTGCCAAAAACCATGATGCATGCAAGTGTAAGAGCGTCGGAACCAATTTACGAGCGATATTTTGCATGTTTTTGTGACTCGAGTTTTTGAAATGCGATCAATGACTTTCATAATAAATACATACATGCATAAAGAAGAGATGAAAAAAAAGCTAAAAAGAAAAATGTGTGTTCGGCAATTGGCATCGCACGAATCGAACGGTCAAGGTATGAACGCCGTATCATTTCTCATTTTTCACTTTCTGGACGTTTCTGCGCGCGATTGCAAATTATGTGGAAATCGCAAATATACGCAGCACGACAGCAACAGAGATTCCCTTGATTCAATTCAAGAATGTTCGTTTGAATTCGTATGAATGATTTGTGTCCGCGAAACGAAAGAGAGAGAGAGAGAGAGAGAGAGAGAGAGAGACTCAATTTTTATTTCAGTCTCTTATTTTCTCGATTTTTCTTTTTTGGCTGTTTTGCTTCATTTTTTAACGAAAAAACCGAAAAAAAATTGTGTTTATTTCAGACGCAGTCTTGACGATGACATTTAATGCTGGTCTAGTTGTATGTTACTGCTTAGTCGGTTTGGCGCAGTTTGTGCGCGCTGGACCGATAGATGCGGCATTGAATTGGGCTCGCGCTGACAAACTACCGATTGAAATTGACGTCAATCTACCGTGGCTACCATGTAAGTTTTGATTTAGTTTGTGTTGTTTTTTTTCTTCTTTCTCTTCTTGGCTTTGGCTTTGGTTTTTCTTTCAATAACAATCTGTTTCATATTTGTTGAGATTTTGCGTTTTTTTCTCTGCTTCTTATTCATCATTCACTGTGCATATATTCACAGTTTTTTGTTGTTGTATTTTTATTACTACGACAAAAATTTCGTAATTTCAACTTGATGGAGGACTGTGAGTGCACACAATTTCGAAAAACTATTAAAATATAATTCATTGTGCTTTATAATTTTATTCACTCTCTTGCCTCTCTGAACTTGTGTGCAATTCACATGCATTGACGTGTGTGTATACATTCAGATCGTGCATCGAAAGTGTGTATGCTATTTTTATTTATCATTTTCTTCATTATGGATTTTGTTTTTTGTGTTTTTCGTCGTCGGTTTCTACTGTTTCCAATGAAAAACACTGAAAAATGTCACACACTGCGAGATAGCTACTGCTACTAAGCAACTAGTTGACATTGTTCTCATTTCCGAATCAATATATTGCGTTAGCATGTACGGTTTTTTTCGTGTGTTCGGTGTGCATTGGCTATGGTGTGTCTAATAGTTGCAGATTTATTACATTAACCCAAAAAACGAAAATTTATTCTGCACTTTTGTGTGCAGCTGAGAAATTCACAATTAATGGTCGCGACCCGAAGACGAATTTAGCATTACCAATGATGGTTATTCAACCAAATGACTCTAAATTGATGGCCCGAAGAGAGCGATCAATTGAGAAAAAAACAACATCCAATTGATTGCTAAATTCTGACGATGAGTTCCGTGAAAAATGTACAATTGAAAATTCTAATTGGAAAATGATTGGAAATAGCACTCAATTTTTATTACAACGTTGCCTAAACAACATTCTAATCGTTATTCAATTTTAACGTTTGAATGAGATGTGAAAAAAAGGCTTGGCTAATTTGCTATTGCTTCGCTTCAGTTGAACAGAGCCAGAAATAAGCACTGAGAAACAGCAAAAGTATCAAGTGGATAAGTAAGTGGCGGCGGTTCGGGTCAATCACCCGATTGAAGAAAAAAATAATCATAAATAATGTGTCAAGTTTCACTCTGATATAGATTCGATAGTCACGCATTTTTTTCACACCGTTTTCGATACTTCAGGCCTTACGACTCCTACTTTGGCAGCAACTCTAACGAGTCACAACACTGCTGACAAACCTGATTTCATTTTCAACCGGGCGACTATTTTCCGATGTCGTTTTTACTGCCGAGGCATGTATTCGAAAACTCACCGAAATAAAACTGCCAATAAATCATCCCAATAAAATCAGCATCACGAGATCCATTTTACTATCAAAAAAATTATTTGAAAAAAAAATAGAGAAATTGGAATAGAGAGAGATAGAGCCAGAATGAATACATATTTGACTCGTAAATAGAGAAAAAAGGCGGCAAACATTCGTTAGCCATCATTCTTCATACATACGCTTCAGGTATAGATAGAGAGGGAAATGTTTGGACCATTTAATTTTCGTCGTTAAATTCCATCTATTTGAATCACGTGAAATCATCGTCGCGTTCGATAATAGTACCATCAAGGGCGCTACATTATTAAATATCACCATTTAATAACAAAAAAAAATCTCTCGCCATTTATTGGCTATTATCTGTTGCGCCAAGATGCGAAAACACACAACCTTGATTTTTGGCTCGTGCAAATTGCAAATAATAAAACGGAAACCTCAACAATTTGTCGCTCGACGTTTTCCAATTGTCTGTTTGTTTTGTTTGTGCAGACACAGCCTTTATTTAAATCATTTTGCTAATTATTTTCCAATTAAAAAAAGTGTAGACATTGACCTTGCGTCGGGTGGCAAACAGGGTGTTGTCGCAAATATTCATCGACACATTTCAAAATCGACAGCAAAATTGTTAACGATTATTGTTAGAGAGAAATTCAAGCGATAAACACATGCACCCACCGATTATGTAATCAAACGTTTAAGGCCGTTCTAAATCTCTATTGAACTTCGTTGTCATTTTATTGAACGAGAGTAAAAACCGAAACAAACCGACTCGTACATAAAATATTCAAATCATTTCAAATGCCATTTTTACGTGATAAATTATCGTAAAAATCATGCTAAAATTTCGAAACGGCGGGTCATAATCTTGAGCTACAAATTCATTTTAACTCAAACTTGACTTTGTTCGCTTGTGACATTTCTCCCGAAAATAAATGAATGCAAGAGAAAAGCGAAATGAGCGAAACAAAAACAGAAAACTTCATGGCTTCAGTGTGCAGACGGATAAAAAGAGAGAAAACATTATCAGCTGAAGTTGAAGTATGCATTAAAATGCAGTATGAAAAGGTCGAACGGTGATAAGCATTATTTAAATATACCGCCCGAAATACCACCGGGTCCAGAGTCAATGTCGTTTTAAATCAAGGTTAAAGTACACATCAAAGAGACAGCCGTTATGAATGCACCATACACACCAAAGAACTCGTATTATTTCTCGTTTTTTCATTATCAGAGTACTTTTCGGGCTCAATGTAACCGTAACTTGAACTAGAATTTCAGTTTCTGGCATAATATGGTCCTTCAAAGTCGAATGCGTAAGAATTTTATCAATAATGCCCCGAAAGGAATCCAACAATTGCATTAAAATTGTTGTGCCTGTTGTAATAGAACACTTTAAATAATGTACATGCACGCATATTAAATGAGAACAGGTATTTTAAATGTTAATGCTTTTTTCTTTCGATAAATATATTCTTGCACTTGATGTTCATGTTTCTGTTGCGCTGCTCGGCTCTTACACTTTTCAACCATTTTTCATACACGCAATTTTCTGTACGGTTCCCGTCTCTGATCTTGTGTCTGTATGTTTTGTTTTTTTTCTTCTCTTTTCTTTTTTTCTTCTTTGGATTTTTTCCTTCCTCGTGTGTGTGTGTAGTCGAGAACGAGACCAGATGTTACGGTGAAATTGGATGTTTGAATATTACCCGCGAATGGTACCATTTAATCCATCGTCCTTTTAACGTATTTCCATTGCCGCGCAGTGTCATTAACACCCGATTCATTTTGTACACGGAGAAAAATCCAATTGAAGGCCAACTTCTTGTTGCCGATGAAAAAGACGCGATTAAAAAGACCAATTTCAATCCGAAATGGTTAACCAAGTTTATCATTCATGGTTTTATCGATACGCCACTGTCAAATTGGGTGTCTGAATTGCGCGATGAACTGATTATGCGTAAGAACTTGAACGTGATTGTCGTTGATTGGGCTGGCGGCTCGTTACCATTGTACACACAGGTAAGAAGCCAAGCATATTGTACTATATTTTATTGTTGTTGTTGCTGTTGCTGGTGTTGGTTGTCGCGGTGTTTCATTTCATTTGGCACAATTTTACGTGACTGCAATTAATTAAATGCGCATTTGACATTCAATCAAATATGATTTTAGGCCACGGCAAACACACGATTGGTTGGCTTAGAGATAGCGTATTTGATTAAAAAATTGCAACAAGACCATGATTTACGGCCAGAGGATGTGCATCTGATAGGGCATTCATTGGGGGCACACACAGCAGCCTATGCAGCTGAACGCATACCAGGCATTGGACGAATTACCGGTTTAGATCCCGCTGAGCCGTACTTCCAAGGAATGGGACCAAATGTCAGACTTGACCCATCAGGTAACTTTTCATTTTCATTGTCGTTCAATGTCTCTCTTGTTTTTTTTTTATATTTTATATTCAAAGGTTAAAACCCAATGAGCTAAATTTAAACTGTTTTTTCTGTCCAACTAGATGCCACATTTGTTGATGTTATCCACACCGACGCAAGAAGTTTCTTTTTACTGGAAATACCGGGCTATGGAATGTCACAGGCTTGCGGTCATATCGATTTTTATCCGAATAACGGCAAAGAACAGCCCGGCTGTGCACTGTCACAAGAAGGCGGAACACTAATACCATTGACCCTCATCAAAGACGGTATCGAAGAAGCGTCACGCGTACTTTTGGCATGTAACCATGTCAGAGCAATCAAATTGTTTATTGACAGCATAAATGGAAAATGCCCCTATGTTGGTATGTGGACTTGACAATTATTTTGGGAGATTGTTTTCTTCTTCAAATTCACATTAATTTGAAATGCAAACGAAGAAAAAACAAACTAAACATGAAAATTAATCGAAACATTTAATTCAGCGCATCGATGCCCATCGTATCAACACTTTTTGCTTGGCCGCTGCTTCAAATGTAATACAGGAAATTGCGCAATTATGGGCTATCATGCAACACTACCAAAGATTCAGTCATTTAATTCATCCGAAAATGAGGTCGTACCATCCGAGCGCAACGATCAACCGGAAAATGTTTCCGTTGCACCGGGTAAATACTTCCTGGCTACCGGGAAGGAATATCCATTTTGTCGTAAGTTTTAACTCATTTTTTTTCCTTTGATTTTTTTTTTCTGCATTGTGGACTTTTTGCATAAGCAATAGATTGGTTGCTAGCTTATTTTTGGGGATATGAGTGACTGATATTTATGTTCATATTCAATAGAGCGTCACTATCGGTTCACAATTGAATTGGCCAAACCGCGACAGGCTGAACGATGGGTGCAAGGCTATATGACCGCATCAATTTATTCGGATCGAGGAGCATTGCGTAGCATTGACTTGACCAAAGGAACCGCACGCCTGGAGCATGGATCCAAATATCAAATTGTTATCCCGAATCCGCATGATTTGGGTGACAACATTCGCAAAGTCGAATTGAATTGGACACATGAGATGAACGTATTGGAGCCACGTTCACTGTGTCTATTCTGGTGTAACGATCATTTGTATGTGAAATCGATTGTAGTCGAAACAATGCAGATGCCATCTAGAGAGTAAGTTTTTTTTATTTGTTGACTATCTCTATATATTTAGTGTCTTGTTTTCGCTTCGTGCATTGAATTTAAATTTTGTGACTTTGTTTTTTTTTGCTTATATTTTTTTCCGTTTCGTTTATGTCTTCTAGAAAGCGAAACACGGAATTTTCGCATAAATTATGTGCACCGAAGCGCGAGTATGCTGATATCGCGAATCGTGGATCGTCCATTTTTTACGATGATTGCAAATTGTGATCCCATCATAAAAAACAAATGAACACAGATATACGCACACATTCACGCGACACATACGTTGAACAGGCCATGGCGTAGCACTGATTACTTCCCTTTATTTCGTTGGTCAAATGGAACTTTGTATGCATTTAAAACATAATTCCACAAATCACATACATGATTCATGCAAAACAAAACACAAAAAAAAACGCACACCCACACATGTTTTCGCACAAATTCGCTGAGATTTCATCGATGATCGATGGCAATGGACGACAGTGAAATGCTTTCAGCGTCAACTATCAACGAGTTTTTTTTATTAGCTATAATATATCTATTTTGCGCAAGACATTTGCTCAATCAACTTGGAATTTAAGTGAGAGAAATTTTTGTAACAAAAATTTATTTCTTCATCTTTTTTTTTTAGAAAAAAAAACTACATTATCCGCAATTAGAAATTTTACGCAATTTTCTAATGGTCTTATTCTTTAAAATGGTTTTAATTTCTTTTTTTGTTTTGTTTAAGCATTATTTAGTTTTTGTAAGCGAAGCTTTTAATTATATATGTATGAGATGTGTAGTACTTTTTTTGTATGAAGAAAGAGAAAATTAGTGTATAGGTTTTTAATTTGTCCTCTACATTCATGTGGTTCATTGTATACTGTTGTTAGTCTCTTCTCTCCCTCTCTCCCTCTCTCCCTCTCTATGTCTGCCTTCTGAGACGTAGCACTACCCTAAGCTTTCCAAACAACATCGAAATGAAATATTTTCATCATTATATGGATTTAGAAATAGCAAGCGGTCATTATTTTGTAAATCATATTTACCCACTGGTTGTAGTATGCTCCTCTGGTAAATGATCAGATTTTTTCAATTTTCCCTGTGAGACAACAATACAAAATTTTGAAGAAGAACATTAACATAATACCACAAAGTTGATCCATTGACCGCAACAATAGCTGCCACGCAGCTAACAAAATACAACGAATTACAAAACATCGAAAAGTAGAATGTGAACGTATCTGTTGAGATGAGGCGCTCAAGCCGGAGCCAAGGAAAAGAATGTGTCCATCAAAATCGAAACGTGTGAATTAAATTTCGAGAATGACAAATGATGCCTGAACAGCACTTGAGTGTTAACAACGTGTTAGGTTGAATATTCGAAATTTAAATCATTCGATTGATTGAATGGGTAAAATGCGAAAATATAACAAAATTTGTGATAATTTTTTTTCTTTTTTTTTTACATTTAGTCTTAATTTGTTAAGGAGTCCGATAAACTTGTATGAAACGTGAAGAAATAAAATAGGAAAAATAAAAAAAAACGTTTTCTTTTAATAAAAAAAAATTAATTTTAGTTATTAATTAGTCATGATGCCATCAATGACGAACGTTGATCTATCATGAATATGATTGGACTTCAATCATCGGAACTCAAGCCAATCGCCCGAAATAATCTTGTTTTCTCCCTACAAATGAAAGAAATGAAACGCTTCTGCTGATTTTTTTTTTATAATTGTTTTTCACGTTTATTCATGATGTAGTAAGTACATAGATTTGGATGGTAATGGAAAAAAGTCATGTATTTTTAAGTCCATTAATTGATGAAACATGATGGGCAATTTGTATTGAAATGTCGTTCCTTCATTTTGTTTGTGTGTTTGTATTCAAATTAAATGAGCTGATGGGGAGTAAGAAGAATTGCTCTTCCAATGTTGATTTCTGTACATAGTTTTTGATAATGAAATGACTCCGTTTTTTTTTTTGGTTGGATATGTGTAGGTGTGTCCATTTGACGACAGCACATTAGAACAAATTGTTCTATTGAACATCCACAGTAAAATTTAATCCATTTGACAAATGTTCTGACTGATAAACTGAAAAATCGCAACTAAAAACTCACTCGCAGACAAACTTAAATGGTTTCAAATTCAGGAGAGAAAAAAAGAAGACAAACAAAAAAATGGCTTCTTGTTTCTTCTATTGTACCCGTAAGTATTGATATTGTGTTCAGTACTGTTTGTCAATATAAATATGTGCTCATTAGAAAAATAAACTTTTGTCGTCATCGTCATCGTCATCATCATCATCTATCTATCTATCTGTTGTGTTTTGGCCGCTATTCGATTTTTTTTTGCTCATCATAATTGCAACAGAAAAATAAATCCATTCATATACATTCCATTTGAACATTTTGTACTCTTCACATTTTGGTCATTATGCCGCTCATATTGTTTTCTATCCATAATATTTATTCTCTCTGACTCTCAATATATATAAATCTGTTTCTATAGTTGGATTTTTCTTTTCTCTTACAAAAATAACATCATTTTCTTTTTCTTCTGATAAATAACTAGTTATCTGTTGCACGTCAAATCGAAAAGTGATTTTGTTTTGTGCTAAAAAACACAAGACCAACAAGAAACATCGTCTTATTCAAATCAAGTGAAACAAAAACAAATTGCAAAAGTGAAAACAAAAACTCAATTTGTTGTGCAGTTTGTTTGAACGTTTTTTGTTGTTGTTGGACAATTAAGCATATTTTACATGCGTGCAAAGTCAATAAGTCATGTGAAAAAGTTGGAAATAAGAAAATAAAATAGAGAGAAAATGCTATGCATTTGTCATTTGCCATGCCTATAAAATATCCTATCAATCTGTTTGTGTGCCAACATTCGAATGCCCATTAAAATCAGATCCTTCAATTTGTCATAAAATTTCAGTTTTTTTTTTGTCTCCTTCAAACTGAGATGCGAAGGAATCGGTTGAGATGGTATAAAACACAATGATAATTTAAATTCATCTAAACGAAATATTTACACAATTCTCTTTTTTTTCTCTCTCTCTCACTCTCTCTTCACTAACACAAATAAAAATGGGTACGTGACTTGTGTGCACTTGGTTTGTTTGTGTGCGTTTCCTTCTATTTTCACTCTAATCATCCAACTGGCTGGCCTCTTCGTCGGGGATATTCTGTAGGCTTTCATCGTTTCGCCAGTAGTATTTCGGTGGACCAGAGCCAAAGCAGTATTTTCGACTCAATGGATCACCATTCTCCACATAATACATCAAATAGAAATTACACATTTCATCTTCATTTGTCGCTCTGAACCAAACATTAAAAAGAGAAGAAAATCAATTAGATAAATAGATGCATATGTAAGTAGAAAATTACAATTTTTTTCATTTACCCAATGAATGTGAGCCGTTTTCGGTTGCTATGCATTGTACAACGGGCCGCCAATGTGTCGCCAAACATAATTGGTTCGGTGGTATTGACTGGATAAAACATTTGCGGTTTCATTGGATCACGTTTACCTAGCAATGTCCATTTTCCATCGCGTATGCGAAAACCAGACACAACTTTGCCCAACGAATGGGTGTGCACACGGAATGCAAACGGATGAATTACTTTCGGTTCATCAATGGTGCATGTGGTTTCCATATGCTCAACGGAATATGGTGGTATCATACCCGCTGTCCCCAGCAACAAAACACCAGCTTGTTTGTTTAGTCTGAATAATAACGGAAAACATTCCGATAATTATCATGCAGCCGTTTCGTAGTCGGTACAAATTCGAGGAATAAAATACTTACAATTGTTTGGTGTAGTGGAGGAAAATTCCCGAGTCATCTGTTATTCCATCTGTGAAGAGAGAAAAGAAAGCAGAATCGATCACACTTAGTTTTTGATAATGTCTGCTTTGATTGGTATTTACCTTGAAACTTGTGCATATAATGTACTTGCAGCACTAAATATTGGATTGGTGAGTCTTTGCCTACTTTGAATCCAACTCCTTCGGGTAGCTCCAATTTGGGCGCATCACGGGCCCATGCATAAATGATCTATTCACAGGAATATAACACTTTTTAATGATTTTCTTTCCCTCAAGAATGACGAATTTAATGAAAATCGAAGAAAATATAAACAAAACAAGGAAAAACAACGAAAAAAAATGTCGACATATGCATTCGAAAAAAATTTACCTGTGAATGCGAGCCTTGCGCACAAGGACTAGCCACCTCATGCGTATCATCCTCACCGCGAGCAGCCATCTCACCGCAATTCCTACGACATACCGAATTTAAATTGAGTTTAGTCAACATATTGATTTAGTGAAATCACGTCATTTTGTCCATACCATACGTGATTTACCGTGCCCGGCTCACCGCATCCGTACAGTAGCATGTGATGGGCTGTGTTCATGGTTGCGTTCGGCTCGAATCCAACTGGATACATAGAGATAAAACAAACAGTTAGATTTAGAGAGGCAGAGAAAAAAAAACACGCATTTTAGATTATTTGCTCAGCAAATCCCTCATTTGCAAAGTAAATCTTGCGTTGGCGTTTGAGGCAAACAAAAACATAGTGAAAAATACAAAGCCACTCAAATCACATGAACACACACAAACACACTCACCGATGAAATAGTTGTTGCTGTAGTCGACTCTGATTGGCGTACATAAGTAAAGCTCCGACTGGAAAAGCAAATAAAATCGGCATCATTTTCACTGACCTCTAAACCACTTGACCAAATTGCATATAATTAGAAAAATTTACAAATAATTTCCCAATATCTTAGGTAACCTAAAGCTAATCGAAGAAAACTCTATTTTTAAAGAAACGATTATCATTTCAATCGAAAATCGTGTGCACGTTTTGAACGAAATGAAGTTCGTTTTATTTTTGTGCAAAATGTTTGTAAACCGTTCGTTTATTTCCGATTCGGCACATTTTCTTATCACACAAGCGATAATAATTGATTTATGATAGGTGTTGTGTGTTAATTTCATGGTTCGTAAATTCGATGGGCTCAAAACTCTCTATCTCCGCTTTATTTAATTTTGACGAATTACGAAACAATGGTTTTTTTTCTCTTCACTATGGATTTTATTTATCACCAGCAGGTGAGACGATGAAATGAGGACAACCGGTTAGAAAGTGTCAATGGATTTTACTTTCATGCAAAAATGATTAATTAAAGTCAATAAAAAAGGCCCTAATTATGTTTATCAACCAGAAAAAATATAATGAATCATATCTGTAGTCATTCTATCATGAATTTGTGCTTCGACACGCTGTTCCAAATGCGACCGAAAGGTTATTGATTTGATTTCGCAGCAAAATCATTTTACCCAATTATACTTGTACCCACGATGCAATTTACGGGGAATTATTTCTTTTTGTTTATTAATTTTTCTTATGAAATCTCTATGTGATTTTCAGTTAACATATTTTTGTTTCGTTCATTGCGTTTGGCGTAAAATATTCAAATAATTAGTTTATAACGTCATCATAAAAATTACGCTCCAGTCGAAAAATGATCATTTCGTGAATTATATATTTCGAAACGGTAATTTTTTTTTTTGGTAGACAGAGTCAGAACAACATAAAACTTGAATGGAAAAATAAACACGCAAAAAACGTGTACAAAATTACTTGTCACGGCAATTGCATTGTGTTGCAAATGAACGGTATCGTTAGCGCGATAATATGTTGACATAAATAAAAGAAAATAATGGAAGAAAATTGCTTTCCAACACCATTTATGTGATTGAAGCTCATTATTTCGACACTTTGTCAGAAATTGCAATGAAATCTATTTCTATTCTAATTGCCGATTTCTCTGTAATAATCATTGAATTTGCTATTTTAACATCGTTGCCATTGAAACGATGTGAAACTACGCACTTTCGCATCCAAATGGAACAGATAACGATGAGTTCGTGCTCTTTTCATTCATTGATTTTCTGAGAAACCAACGAATTCTATTTCGCATCAAAGGACAAATTGATTTATGGCTAAAAAAACAAACAACTGATATGACTGCCTTCTATTCAAGCAAAGGATTGCGTCACAACTTTTCTTCCTTTGTCCAAGTATAAATGAACTATTTAATAAAATTGACCGAAATCAATTTAGATAGGAAGTAAACGTATGTTATCTCACTTACCCGATATGGATGCACATTTGGCATTAAAAATGGGAATCGTCCGACAGCATTCTCAATTAAAGCTTGCGATGTATGCACAAATATTACAACTAGCAATATGCTGACCAACGACACCATATGGAATGCTTCGATCATCTTTGATGTGATGCAATTGAAATTTGATATATAGCCAACTTGATGTTCCCAAAAGGGGGAGACTCTGTTTGTGTTTACTCTCGTTTTTTTTCGCCTCAGTTATCAATCAATACAACAAAACGATGCTCATGACAAAAACTAAAAGGCAAATAAGAAAAATAACAAAGGCATATGAATATGTGTGTCACGGTATTTACAAATGACGCTTTCTGGTCAAACCATATTTAAACCAGAAAATCACCCAGCATATTTCTGTTGCCAAGCGATGCATGCAACTTGAAAAACAACTTTTGAATCGAGAATCAAATTGTGGTTTATCTCTACAAGTTTGTTTTTTTTCTGCTATTTTAGCTTCGTTCTTGTCTAGAACAAAATATCTGGCAAAATGACCAAGTTTCCTAGATTCTCTTGACAATTTTTATTAGTGATACCAAATATGTGCAAAGTCTAACTTTGAATAATCTTATCGAAATGTAAAATTGTTTCAGGATACAGGAAAAAAAAAATTGTAAGCCATTACTATCGAATTTTGATCACTTGATAATCAAGTCTTGATTCGTCTCTGATAATTCAAAACGAACATTGAAAAGTAAATCTCTCATTCGATCATTCACTCCAAATAATTTCATTATTTTCGTTCTTTTTTTTTCAAAGATATTCCAAGAGCCCATTTGATTGCTACACAACGTTTTCCAAATTACTCAAGTTTTTCCTATTTTAAACAGATGAACTGGAAGAAAACTCTTAATTTACTTGCTTGTTATGCATATTTGAATTACAGTTAATTCGAGTCTCAAATTCCCGATAACAATAAAAATGAAACAGTTACAGGAAAGCAGTGAGATATTTGTGTGATGATAACATTCGATTCAGCTTACATATTTCATCATCGACAATCGTCAATTAAATGTTGCTTCTCATGCGATACAATGAAAAAAACAACAACAGAACAGAAAAAACGAATCTTCCGTCTGTCCAGCAAAAGTTCAACTATCAAGTGATACGTGTATAATTACTAGAATTATATTGTAAAATACATACTCAGTCAGTGTTATACACCGAATTGATTCTAGTCGATTCTTTTTTTTCCATTGAAGTAAATCGAATCGGGTGGGTTTGGGGGAAAACCCGCTGTATAATACATTCGCCGCACTCCGATCGGACACTATATTGAAAATGGTTAACGCTTTTCAAGCGCTAGGTGTTGGTTGTTGAAGGAGCAAGACAAGTGTGTGATACTGTAACAACTTGTCATTTTCTCCAAACGGTGCCAACCACAATGTGTGTCTGTGTCTGTATTTGCGCGCGTATGCATTCTATATACATTATCCTCGTAGTAATTCGCAATGACGTCAAAGGCCGAATTCTTCATTTGCTTGTTGCTCATCAACGTATGAGTTGCTCATTACGGTGGGCTTTTTTTGCATTCGCAAAAAATTAACACAATCCGCGCAAATGAAGGTAACCATGTTCTATAGTTGGACGATGAATGCTTTTTCGTTTTCTTTCAATTTCACAATGTTCATATGTTTTTTTCCATCATTTCAATCATCTACCTGTTCTAGTTGGCCGTCAAAGCTACCGTGCCGTTTAGCATATTTCTCACACATTCACACACAAAATGAACGCAGTTTACGATTACACGATAACAAACACCTAATAAATATCGCTGTTTTTTTTTCTTTTCTTCTTTCGCCTTCAATTAATTTACATTGAATTTTAGCTATTTACTGATTATGATCCGAATGCTTGGCTCAAACAAACAAAAAAAACCTAACAGGTGGAATCGATTTGGAAATCATCTTCAAACACAACATATGTTACAAATGATATTGTCCTAGCCTGTATTTTAAAACCCACAAATTTCACACGCATTAGCATTAAGCAACGATTATTATTCGAAATCTAATCAATTATGGATAAGGCTCTTGCTGGCATCGATCTTATTAGAATAGAATAATTCACACAAATTCAAAGAGAACGAATATTTACTTTGTTCACTAATTTTGCAATTTTCCAATCAATTTGCAAAATAGAAAAATGTCACTAAAATAACATAACAAATATAACTCAACCCACTCGAAAATTTGAAATTCAATTATTAAAAAAACCACTTTTTTTCACTCTAATTCGTCTTTACTTGAACCTTCGATACGAAAAACGTACATTTGATTGATACAAATCCGTCAGCTTGTTACATTTTTTTCAACTTCGACTATCATTCACTTGTAGCTTTGTTTGGTAGAGAGTCTTCTCAAATGTCTATTCGTGTGAAATAACGTTGGTCCGTTCTTAGCTGGATGAATTGAGAGTCGATGTATGTGATGGTGTATTTGTAACGTGTGTTTCGTTCTCTTTTTCGCACATTCGTCTGTCCGTATGCCGTAGTATATGCGGAGTGTGTACTGTGTGTATCATGCGGAGAATGGTTCGTACTCTCTCGCATTATCGTCATCGATGTGCTGCTGCGGCTGCTACTGCTGCTTTCGGTCTATTGTAAAGGTATTTGTGTGCACCGCTAAAGCACACCAAAACACTGCGCAGTTTGGTTCGTTCAACATTGACTTTGATTTGTATATGCGTATCGATATGCTTATGAATTTGAAACCAGCATTGAACTATGTATAGATAGATGTATACATGTTGTGTTTATAACTATTCGTCAAAACCTGTTTAACACGATCATGTCAATTTTATGCTATGAAAACTCATGCCGTATTCATTCAAAAATGTCAAAAATCAAATGAATTTTGAAATTGAATTTGTTGCTTGTTCCAGAGTTTTTCAGGTGGCAAAATGAAACATAACATTTGGTCTAAATTTTCAATTGTATTCGCTGGGTACTAAAAAAAATCCGTGTTGACACATTGATGTATAAATTTTAGTACGATATTTGAAACGTCAAACGGTTTTGATCCCAATCTCGCGCTCATATACGGTGCGTCTTTAGTTTATATATTTTGTTTCATTGTTTTTTTTTTCATCGTTTAATTGTGTCCAAGTTAAGTTTGAGCAATTTGATATGAATAAAGGTCTGTTCGTAGAAGAATTGGATTGGAACGATCCACAATATGAACCATGGAACATAGAAAAACTCGGCGAATTGAATCATGCACAGTTAGATGCCTTATTGGACGATGATGTAAGTGCAACACTATCATTCCCCGTTTGGATTGTTACTTGGTTTGAAATTCAAACAAATTTTCTGGTTTTTTTTTAGGACGTAGATCTTCCCAAATTAACTGAAAACGAGAGAATAGATTTGTGTCTGACAGTTCCATGTCGGGTAGAATTGGGGCGTTCGAATGTGTGTACTGGCGTCGAAAGAAGTTGGCCCAAACGTATGTTTGGCATACCAAATTTCAATGATTTGGAGCCAAAGCAAAAACGTTGCATCTATCGCGATATGGAAAGAAAAGCGCTGCTGTTATACAACACATACGTTGATGAGAATCGATTGAAAGAACGGGTTCGTCGACGTACAGCGAATGCACATGCTCCATATTGGGAGCAAAGATACCGAAAGCATCGATTTCTACGCATCAAAGCATTGGCAGATCAAGGGGAATGTGGAACAAACGCCGAATCAGTTGATGATGGAATGGTCAACGCTGAACTGACTGACGATGATTCGGATAATGATAAGTTGGTCATCGATGAATCGGTTGCTGAGTCATCTCTTGACAATTCAGAGGTAACCGTCATCAACACAGGTAGCACACAGCCGGATAAATCGGTTGGAAAAGGCGGTTACAGAAAAGAATCATCACAAATCGATGTGAATGATAACAACTACAATATGGATAACGATGATGATGATGATGATGATGGTGTAATCGATTACATGGAAAACGATGAGAATATTTCAAATAATTCGGCGGCAAGTGGTCGGTCAATTCACTCACAAAAAACCACTTCACTTCCAAAACGTTCGGATTTAAACAAACGACAACCATTGAAGGTTCAACAGAACGGCGTTCGCATCAGTGCTACGCTTCAACAAACCATCGTTACATTGAATTCAGACGATGAAGAAGATGTTTCGGAGGAAGAAGAGGAGGCCGATATACAATATAACGACATACTATCATCGCAGAGTTTTGTCACATCAACGGTGCCCGATGATCTAGCATCACCAGATCGACCATCTCAAGATCTAAATCTGTCTCCGGTTGAACCCTGCATCGATTACAGTGATCCTACCAGAACATTATTTACTCGTGGTGTCATCGTTTCAATGCGTAATTTAGGAAAACATATGGTTTCCAATGATGTTACGGTGTCATCACAACATGATGAAACTACAGAAGTGGACAGTCTTGATTTTCTCACTCCAAATATGATGGGAGCACAAACTTCAACGCAACAATAAATTTAAATTGTCAATTTGTGATATATGTCCATTACCAATTATTTGATTTGGACATTCCCGCCAATAGAGATTAAGCTAAAAAAAAAAATTTCATTAAATATGTTTGTATGGAATTATTTCGGACTAGAGTCTCATACATAAAACGGTCATTGATATTTGTTGTCGCATGAACAGTCACAATTGTTGAGGTTATGAACAGCGACGACAGCTCAACCAATTGTTATTATAGTATTACAAATAGATAGCACTCATTGTGACGGGCTAAAAAGAACAACACATACACATACCGAATAGAAAATGTTCAAATTATCTCAAAACTATTTCTGAAAAACAAATCATTTATACACGGAATAAAGTGAAATTGAAGGAATTTTTGTTTAGAATTTTGCTTTGTCTTGTTCTTGATTTTGGTCAAACTATCGGGTTACGTATAGTAAGAAAGTATTTGTTTTTGTTTTCGATGAAAGCTTGAACTGTGAAAAAGGTAAACAAACCGACGTATGATCAATGTTTCAACATTTGACGGTCGTCCAATCAACAAAAAGCTATTCACCAACATCAGCAACAATTGCTCGGAGTTAATTCGAGTAAAACTCAGGAATTTGACTGATAAATTTAAGTCGAGTTGAAAGCAAGAGGCGCTGCAAAATGAATTCCAGCGAACAATCCAACGAAACAAAGCGATCCATGGATTTGGTGAAAGCAAAGAGTCTTTTACAAATACTTGAGAGTGATTTAGATGCCTGTGACTTCAAGTGGACGTTATTTGTGGCCGCTGCAAATAACTATAAATACGATTCATTGCTCAAACCATTTCCAAGTGCATTCATCGCAAATAAAGTATTATGTATAGAGCGTTTACGTGAGACAATAGCATACATTCCAGCATTTGATGTTTTATTACCAAAATTACAAGATTTTTGCGATCACACAACTAGCATAGATAATACTATCAACGATGAAACTATCGGCTTGTTGTATTGGTGCCTGATTAGCGTCAAAGAACCCATATTAAAAAGCATCAATCGTACGAATGTAAGTATCATTTTGTGTAAACTATTCCACATTGAAGGTAATTGATAGAAAAAATGAATAAAACAATTATTTGGCTTGGTGATAAGGCATTGAAACTGTGTGTTTGTGTTGTGTTGTGTTATCCATTACCATTTGAATTGCTCCGTTGTAGCATTCGTCAATATTTTGATTTACATTCAACAAAGAGAGAAAAAAAAACTGGGGACAGTGCTGCCACCACAGTTGTTGTTATTTCAGTTGAAACACACCTCACAGTTGTCACATTTTGGCAGTAATGCAGAGTAAAATAGCGTAGCAAGTCGATTTTTGTACATGTGCATCATACTGTTCCGTTTTTTTTTTCCTTCATTCAAATGGGATTGTTGTGATTTTGTAATTTTCTCTTAATTGAAATGGATCCAAAAAGTGGTTCGCAAACGAATAATGGTGTAAAACATCATGGTGATCTGGCAAAATTACCGTCCAAATCAAAAACAAACGACGCAAATACATCAAGTAAACAAATAGCAGAACCAAAACAACGCGTCATCAAGCAAATAGTGTCATTAGATCCGAAAAAATTGAAAGCATTAGGAATTGAATCGAATATTTTGTCGGCGCTCACAAAATTCAATGGTAAAGATAAGGCATCAATTAAAACGAAGCAACCAACGGTGACGGTGACGGTGACAAATACGGAACCATCCACATCAACCATCGAATCTCCGGCACGAAAATCAATCATAAGTGCAGCTATTTCATCATCATCAGTCAAACCAATTATTGCATTGACCGGTTGTAGCGCACCGGCGCATAAAAAACCGGACGAAACATCTACAGCGAAAAAAATTCAAGTTTTGTCCAATGTGTTGCTCAGCGAAAATAAATTAGATTTGAAGATTTTCCCCGTTATTACATCACCATCATCATCATCATCATCATCGACACCCAAAGTTAGTCATAAGCATATTTCGTATGTATCGCCTGTGCCAAGGCCCAGCCAAATAAAACGCGTTAACACCGATAAAGTGCCATCCAGCCAAGTGAGTTCACCCGTCGTTGTTCATCAAGAAAAAGTTGATTCAACGACTGTTACGGAGAATAGAGCAGATAATCGCACACAATCGGAATCGCCCGTTAAATCACCTACTAGGTCGCCTGTCAAATCGCCCGTTAGATTGCCTATTAAATCGCCCGAAAAATCACCCATCACAACAGTTCAAAAGCCTAAGTCTCCATTAAAATCACCTTCACTAGTAAAAAAACACACAAAATCTCCCGTTAAACAGCCGGACAGTGAGCTGAGTCCGAAAACCAATGAAATCGATTCTTTGAAAGGATTTTCATTGCCCGAGCTAAAATGTTCACAGAATCAATTTGAAAATTTACAACATGAAGTACACACTAATCCATCAACAGTGTCAGCAGTTGAAGTTGAGCAAGAAAAAGATATTTCAACAGTTGAAGTTGAGCAAAACGAAGAAACCGAAAATGTGGAAGAAACATCACAAACTGAGTCAACAATAGCGATCAATAGCGGCGGCGGCAACGGCACAGAACCGTCAAGTACATTCTCAACTTCAGAGACAATACCATCCGACCAGTCGTCGGACAGTGAATCCGATTTGGATGAGCTAATTTTAGAGGCTCAAATAACAATTGAAAATGAACGGGAAGTCGTGGATACCGATGAAACGGAAGATTCACCCGAACCAAAAATTGCACCGAAAAAACCACGACTCGTACAGAAGAAATTCCTCGATATGCTAACGGAACATGTTGACAAAGATCGGTTGATTGATGACTTTTTGGTATCAACCAGCAATAGTTTTCACACCAATGACATTTCCGACAGTGATTCAAATGATGATCACGACAATTTCGATATGGATGTGGATGTGGATGTGGATGTGAACACAGAGTCGATAGCTGAAATAAATGACACTGAGAATGTTCGCGAAGAATCAGAAAAGGTCACGGTGGAAGCCAATGTTGAACCATCTGACGGAGATATTTCAACAACAGAAACAACTGACATTCTAATACAAAAAGTAGCTGATACAGACATTTCAAGAGCAGAATTGGTCGATACAAATATTTTAGCAACAGAATTAGTCGATGAAAGTAAACCAGCCAAAGACTTGGCAAAATGCGAAAAGGCGATCGAAGACCCATCACCGCCTGCAGGAAGAAAACGGAAAATTTGTGCTAATTCTGAGATCAGTTCTAAACGGAAAAAATCAACTTTAATAAGCGACGATAAAATTAAAAGCACCGCAATGCAAACACAAGACATCACAACGAAGACAATTGTCGAGCCGAAAATCGTAGAAACACCGCTGGAAATTATTCAAGGTAAAACAAAGACGAACAATGATTTCTTTTCATTTGTGAATTTAAGCATGAAAATTGATTTTACAGAAGCATCAGAAGTCGAATCAACGAGTAACCTGCTGGAGCCGGAGCAACAACAGTCAATCGTGGTAAACATTGGCGGGCACAGCAAATCATTGGCGAGTAAAAGAGGCAAAAAGCCGAAACAAACAATTTTAAATGATTATTTTGCCGTGCAAAATTCAATCCGAGATGCAACAAAACAAGCATTGGATGAGGTGATCAACAGTGTGTCGACGAAAAGAAGTCGATCTGGTCGAGTTATCAAACCGAAATCGTTTGATATTGAAACGAAATCAACGGCAAAACCCAAACGAAAGACACGAAAAGAATTGACAAATGAGCGCGAACCTGAACCAGAACCGATGATTGTTCCCGAAATTGAAGTCAAAACGGAGTCGATAGCACCGAAGCCACTGAAGAAACGTCGAGATAAAAGGGGCAACTATGTCATACCTGATGACATTCCATCGATTGACACATTGAGTGATAGTACAATTAAACCGATAGCCGAGAGCACGGTTAGCAGAGCTACAGAAGCGGAACCATCACTTGTTAGCTCAACACCAATTATTGAAAAACCAACGGCGCGACGGAAATCAACGAAAGAAACGAAATCGCAATCAATTGAGCCAATCCCTGGATCTCCGAGCTACGATAATATTTCGATCGAAATAGAAACTCCAAAGATGGTTCCCAAACGCAAAGGTCGGCCACCAAAGAAGTCACTAATTCCCAATGAAACATTAAGTCAAATTTCTGCTATCGATTCAAATGTTTCAATTGAGCACGCGGAGGTGACAATGAAGCAAGAAGAGTGTACAGAAACGCCCACAAAAGTGATTCCAAAAAAGAGAAGAGGTCGTACTCGCAAAATTGCAGTGATAGACGATGAAAATGTTTCAAGTAGTGATGATATGCCAGTTATGTCTTTGGAAGACCATTTCAAAACGCCACAAGAGACAGGTACTCATCGTCGCCGCCGCCGTCCAGCTTCAAAGAGTGACAGCGTAGATGAATACCAAACACCTCCGTCTACATCTGAATCAATACCAATATCAGCACCAACGGAGGATCCAACACCAACGGAAAATTCAATCGGAGATGCTGACAGTCACAGTCTTGAACCAATAATAAAGAAGCGCGGCAGACCTCGAGTCAAACCAAAGCCAGCCATTGAAAAAATTGTCAATCCAATCAAATTGACGTGTGGCAATTGTCAAGCTGAAATCCCAAAGAATAAATGGAAGGCTCACGAAGCTACGCATCTTGGTGTCACATTTCGCGTTGGCCTTGATGAACCGTTCGATGTCGAAGATCCATCGAATATGGGTCGTCTAATGATTCGCTATATGAAATACAATAAAATCCAATATTTGAAATGCCCAAAGTGTGGTGAGAAAAAGAGATCAGCGCTTGGCTATATCAGTCACGTTGAACTGTGCGGATTGTCAGAAGAGGAAGTAACTTCGTTGAAAGCTGAATGTGAATTTTGTAAGAAACTGTATCGCAAAGTGAGTTTACCATCGCATCAGCAAGGATTTTGTCCGGTCCGACGATTGGAGCTTGCCCAGCAACAGGCCGATCAAATGGTGGAAACGGCAGCTCAAGACGAGGAAAATATCGAAGTGATTTATTCAGAAAGTGGTCGACCAAAACGGATGATTAAAAAAGTGAAGCCAACGTCAAAGCCGGTTGATGATTTCATAAAGGTTGGCTTGAAAATCACCGGCGGCACATACAAATCGTGGTCGAATCAGTTGCGTGAGGAGAATATTATCAAATGTACAAATGAAAATTGTACATTTAGCGTGACAGATCTGAAGGAAATGCGTCGACATTTCATAAAATGCAGAGAGTCGATACTTCAATGTAAAATATGCCTGCAAACGGAACGGTCACGCAATGCAATCGTTGAGCATATCGAAACTACACATCCGGATGAGTTGAAATTGAGTGAAGTGGAGGAAGACGATAATGATGACGATGATGATTTCAAAGCGGGAAATTCATCGTCAGACAGTAGCTACGGTGATTCGGGAGATGATGAACATGAGCCGAGGAGAAACAAATCAATACATCGTAAAAGATCGGTTCCATTGAAGCGGATCATGGAAGAAGATTCGCCAGCCTATTGGGAAATGTTGTCCGCATTTTACACACGAATACTGAACTCACGGCCCGGTTTTCATCGTAAATCATATCAATGGGCAAAGGAATTTGTTGAACAAAATTACGATCTCAATGCACTAACTCTGACCGGTCACATGCGAAGCACATACGAAATTGTGCGTCTGCCACAGCGTGAAGTCAACAAATTCCTTGGCCTATTGCAATCCAGATCGGTAAAGTTTCTGTGTCAAAAGCAAACGGAGTATCAGCAAGCCAAATCGGAGGTCATCGATGGAAATTGGAGCAATTTGAATCTGTTTGAATGTGTGAAATCAACACATGTTACCACTGAGCCGACGACAATATTCTGTGGTGGAAAAATCATCACAGCCGATTGGATTCCATTCCCAAGCGAGTACAATGGTACACAAATACTGGCGATTTGTGCACAAGGTCAAGGCACACATCCAATTAACGCAACAAATAGCATACCGATGACCAAATGCCGGTCATTGATTCAACTGTGGAGCGTGTCAACGAATGCCGACAGACAAATCGACAAAACGGAATTTATGTATGGCATTGCATATGAAGATGGTCCAATATGTTCGACATCATTTTGCCCGAGCGATGCATACGTTGCGTCAAAGCGACTGGCAATCGTTGCATTGCCAAACACAATTGGCAATATAAATATCATTTCAATTCCAGACAATGTGTCCAGAGCCAAAACGAATACGCCCACTGTTATCAAACTGAAGCCGGAAATTCGACTTCAACTCGGTTGGAATAATGACGAAAATCCAGCACATACAGTTACACAAATGGTGTGGTCACGTACAAAAGGCCATAAAGTGCTGTGCGCCGGCTACAATTCCGGATTAATTGCCGTTTGGAATTTTGATCATTTGAACTCGACGTATTTGACACAGAAAGGATCTTCCGATGGTATTACCGTTTTACTGCCACAATGCAGTTTTATGGCCTCGTTATCGTTAATCACACAATTGGATCTGCATTCCGATGATAATGGAAATGCAAGATGGATTCTCGTTGGTGCTCTTGATCGTCGAATGCGATTGTTTGATTTGCAAGACCCTCAGCTCGTCCCATTCACATCAACCGTATTTAAGAGTCGCATCATTTCGGGCACATGGCCATTGCATTGGCCCATCTATCTGACCATCATTGATGCGGTACTAACGCGCCAAAATGGTGGACTTCACATCAAACCAATTCTATACACGAACAATCAATCGAGCAATTCAACGCTGTTCAACGACTGTGAACCGAGCAATTTAACGTTTAGCGACTGGTTGAATACCGGCATTTTTGGCAACGAAATTGGCGACTTATTTATGATTAATTTCCAACAACTTTTGGTTTATGATCGATATGATGAAAGCTCCGAACAGAAAGTACTCAGCAGCACCGATGTATTCGTCGACGAACAATCGTCCAGCGCTGTTTCGAATGATCGCATTAGCATTTTATTTAAAGATTGTGAGGATAAAGTGCTGTCGCCAAAATTGAATACACGAGGCCCAGAGGTTGATCAACCACCAAACGCTCGAATCACCCGGGTCGCAATCAATCCGAATGAATCACATCAAAAATTATATGCAGCCGGCTATGAGTTAGGCTTTTGTCGCATTCATTTCATCCCCGGAACAATTGGATAGAAATCGAACATAGTTTTATTGCCTATACAAACCAACCAAAGCCAAAATTTATCACCAACGAATTATTACGATGCTAAGCAAAATGTTTTGATTCATTTTTCTATTCTAAATGTACACAGTTCGATAGCGTTTTAAAAAAAGTGATTTCCGTTGTGCCTGGCCCACGACCAACTCACATTTTTGAAGTGTGCACGTCGTCCGATTCCATTGCCGAAGAGAAATTCCGTAGCCATCAAACGAATAATCCCACTACGTTTGGTTATCATGGATCCAAACTCGAGAGCTTCCATTCAATTTTAAACTATGGCCTACAACAGCACTTGTGCAAGGTGAGTGGATTTTTTTTTCGGCAGTTCAATTAATGATCATTTTTATTGTTCAAGATTTTATTTCCTCAAAATTCACTGAACTATTCAGTGTGAATGTTAAAAATATCATAATTTTTGTTTTCGATTTATTTTCTTTAGACTGCATTATACGGAGAAGGTATTTATTTGTCATCTGAGCTGAGCGTCAGCCTCATGTTTAGTTCAACTAATATTGGATGGGAAAATTCACGATGTGGCAGAAGAAGTTCCTGTTTAGCAATTTGTGAATTTGTCAATCATCCAATCCATTTGAAGTGTCATACCAAAGGTAAAATTCCAATATAAACCATCATTTATGGATCGTTAATCCTATCACTTAATCTTGATGATAAATTCAATCACTGAATTTATACTGTCATTTTCATGAAAATTAGCTAACAACACTTTCTCTTTCTTAATCCGGCAGAAAAAAGCAACCCAAATGGAGTTCCCGACAAATATTTTGTGATAACGAATAATGAAATAGTCCGTGTGCGCTACTTGATCGTTTACGGATCCGAAATGAAAGCGGCTAGAAATTCGCGCCTAACTGAATGCAGCAATATGTCGGAGTATGCAATGGTAAAATGGATTCATCGTCATAAATGGATTGCGGCCATGATAACCTATGCAGCAATTTTACTGATAATCGGAGCGTCAAACAGTCGACATGGATATTATATGAGACAATATATGCGACAGGCAACGCTCAATGCTATCGACTACCTAAAGACCTTTAATTTATTTGGATTCAATTACATTAAGAAATTGTTCGGTTGACAAAACTACCGGTCAGTTCACCAATATCACAATTTAAATCGCCATTTCAATGAAATGTCAATAGTACGGTTGGAAAATGTAGGGAATTTAATAGCGGGCCGAAGTAAAATTGTGCTTGAAACTGTGATGAGAGAATATTTTTTTTTATAAAATCACCTAATTCGAATAATAAACACGTTCGTTGATGAGCATAAATTAATGAATTGATTTGTTTCATTAAAAGATTACAGCTGGATTTGATCGTCGAACGGAAAATGAAAAAAAAATGGGTAAATTATGGACAAATTCGAAATGAATTTGGTAAACAAAGTGAAAATATAGTAAAACACAACGTGACACGTGCAAACTCTTATTTTATTTTTATTTTATTAAACACCGCCAAGCTCTGGCTGAATATAATGTGGGTTCTGATTGAGGTTTGGCCGGAAAAGAGTGCAAGACTGTTACATATTTAAAATAATAAACAATTAGTAGCAATAGGTTTCGATAACTATCAGTTCTCGCCTCGTTAAAAACCTGGCTCTTTTCGTACATCATGCGGTATTCACAATAGTAGGAACATGAAAACGAAAACAGTCATACAACCAAGATGGAAATGCTTGATATTAGTCCATAGTAAACGGTCCAGGACAACCTTTGGTAAACGTTTCCAAAGGGACAAAGGCTATGTGAAGCGTTAACTGTTACGCGTTAAATTTGGACTTTGAGACTGCAAAAGTCGTCACTTAATTTATCCGATAGATAAATTGATGAGAAGTTTTACGTCGGTTTAGGCAGATCCATGTTGATTGCAGAGTGCATTGAGTTGACATGGACCATGATTTGAAACGTAACTAGACAATTTGATGCTAAATGGTAAATAATTCAAAATTGACTCAAAATTGACTTGAAAGATAAGAATATTAACTCGCCAACTTCGTGGCTACAAAAAAGCACAAAATCAAAATAAAAAATTTACAATAAATAATGTAAACATCACAGATAAGTATCATCTTTTCAATACACATAAAAGAATGTATGGAAAAATTCGTCAGTCTTTAAATATTGATTATGCTGTGTGGTCCGTGTGAGATGAGTTGAATTCCACGTGGGTGTTTGGAACCTGGGACAGCCCCGCTCATGTTTGTTGCAATCAGAAGCAACCCAAATGGCACCCGGGAAGTATGCTTTGTCCTTGATGAATTCGTCCGCTTTGGATCATAGATCGCGTTTGTTGGCAACATGAAAATCGCAATTTCATCATTAATGTGGGCAGTATCAAGGTGTTCTCGTGGAGAACATATACAAAAAATGAGGTTACCTGGATGAAAAATTGACTGGGATCTTACTTATGTACGTACAAACGAACGAAAAAAGGGTTTTTTCAAGCAAAATTAATGGAATTGTGTGTTCTTACAACATTGAGAGAAAAACAATACGCAAGCCAAGCCTCTTGTCCATTTTCGTTTGTCGTCGTCGTTGCATGTGAAAATCCATTTGAATTTTTTTCATAATAGTAAAGAAATTGCAAAGGGATTTGGATGTAATTAGTTTGCAAATACTCTAGTTCATAAGCTGATAAAATAATTAAGTTTCATTTTGAATGTTTGCATTACGAATGGCGGCATCGGCGTGAGTGAATATCAATTAGGCAAACGAAAGAAGAAACAAGTAGCTTAGGTCAGTCGAAGGTTCTGATTTAATTCGACATACATTGATATTACAGAATTAAACGCTAATTTTTTTTGTTACTTAAAAATATACCATCATTGTCACTGAATATCCTTGATGCAATTTCTTTAGTTTGTTTGCTTTCATTTCAATCAATCGAGTCAAAAAAAATTATTTGTGGTGGTTTTTTTTGCTCATCTTTTTGTGTAACAATTTTTTGCTTCAATTTTCATGTTTCATCTCGTGAATAGCTTAATTTTATTGGAGCGAATAGCACATTACGTAATTTGTTTTTTCTTCATTCCATTTCTAGAGTTTGACTTAATCTTAAAATGATACACTCTTTTGAAGAAATGATTTTTTTTAAAGAAAAGAATAGACAATGTCTACGTGCAATTTGATGGCAAGAAGACAAGAAGACATTGTGAATGATCAAATCAAGCACAACAAAGGAATTAAAAAAAAACGGAAACGTTTTTTTTCTATTTAAAACATGTAAACTTGTGAAAAAAAATGAAGTAAATTGGCGGAGATCCCTTTACTGAAGCAGTCTTTGGATATTTCACTATGGGGATAACAGTGTTTTCAACGAATCAAAAAACAAAAGAACATACTCTCAATAGAATGATAATGCGTTGAGCTCCATATAAAGTGAAGCAAATACATAAATCCATTCTATATAAAACAAAGTGTCTACACAAATCCATCATCAAAGCAATTTTCATACATCTATCCAATTTTTTGATGTTTTACACGGTCACATTTCGCTCATTTCTACGTGAAATAGATGCTTAATTACATTATACCGAATAAAGAATAAACGTTTTTTTTTCTCTTTCAAATGATTATTTATGCATGTGTTTTTTTTTTTGAAGATTTTAATCAATTTTTTTCCAAACCCAATGTGTTTTTAATTTTAATTAGCATTTTTATCAAACATTTACTGCATAATTTCTAATCAATACATCCCTATAATTTTTCATATGATTTTTTTCTGCTTTCCGTTTCCATTCATTGTTTTCATATATATATATATATAAATTTTTTTTTATCGAAAGCCAATGAAAAAATATGATTTTTTTTGTATGAATAAAAAAATTTTCTGTTTGCCAAATCGTTTTTTTTTTGTATACATAAAAATAAACCCAAATGTGTTTGTTTTGAATTAAAATTTTGACAACCAAATAACGTACATATAAACGTATTATAATAATTAGATTTCGAATTCCACAAAAAAATATCATCAGTTCTATGTTAATTTTTTTTCTCGTTTCCTTTTTTTTTTCTTTTTCTTTCGTTTCTATCGCCTTAGAAAACTGCTATCACGTTTTTATCAAATTTCTTTTTTTAAAATTATTTTTCACATCCAGTGTTTCTCTCATTTACGTTTTTTCCTTTTCGCTTTTAAAAAAAGAACCAAAGAAAAAGTAATTAAAATCACAAAATTATGACGTATTTTCGTGTCCAAAAAAAAAATTTCGTTCAAATTTTTTCGCGCTCATTCGCCTTCTCTCTTGTCTTGCATGTTATTTCCATCCAACTGATTCATAACATGCATTAATCAGCTTAACAACGGTTCAATTGAATCCCCCAAAAAATTGAATTGAAACTTAAATGCAAAACTTAACATTTTTTTCCGTAGTTTTTTTTTCTCTTTCCATCGTTTACACAGAAAAAATAATATGAAAAAAAAAGAAATTGAAAAATGGGAAACAAATAAACAATGTTACACACGCTTGTAACGTGTGTTTGTTTCACAACAAAAGAAATTAAATTGCAAGTCACAAAATTTAGTGTGAAATATGTGATATTTGATTAGAGTTGATTTCGCATTCAAAAAGTTTTGGAAATTTCAACACAAATTTTTTTCCATATTTATGGTTTTTGCATCAATTTGCATTTTCTATTATTCCTTTTGCCAATCACTTTGTATCTCATACATCAGCTGCAATCATAGGATTGGACACAAATAAAACGAACAAAAAAAAACTCTCTACAATTTGGTTCTACATCTGATTTTGTCTGTCTGTCGGATTTTTTTTCTTACTTTCTTTGTAAATTCTTTGATGGGTTTTTGCTTAATCTCGTGTTAAATGCGTTCTTGTTGACTCGGTTTTCTTTTCAGTTTTCTTCGGTATTCGGCGTGTGTATGTGTGTATTTTCGCTTCTATCTTTCATTTGTCAGTTTGTATTTCTAGTTAACATTAAAAGTATTAACAGTACCAGTATATACATGTGGCTAGATTTGTGTCGAGCGTGTCCATTCCTATTTCGTATTTTTTTTTCTTCTCAAATTTGAATTGCGGTTGAATTTGTATCGATAACTATTTATTATGATTGTTTTCTGTATGGATTCCATTTGTTTTTTTTCTCTTTCGACATTGGTTTCGTTTAAAATTCGAAACGAAAAAAAGAGTTATAAATGTGAAGAAAATCTTTGTACAGATTTGATTCGCTGACTATTTTATTCGGATAGTATTGGTTGATTTTCATTTTTTCGTATTTTGTTATTGGTCCTATTTATGTATACGTTTCATTAAAAAAGAAGAATTAAATATGGCTATGACTGGTTTGGCTTGAAATTCAATTGTTATTTAAAATATTATTTATCATTAAGTTTGTTTTTTCCCTTTCTTCTTCTTCTACTGTTTATTTATAGTCGTTCAATTTGTCTACAGATGAATATCGGTTCATTTAAACGAAATTATTGACTGTGTGTGTGTGTGTGTGTGTGTGTGTCAATGTAACTCTTTGTCTTCATTTTTCTCTTTTACGTCGTCACGTTCGGCCCAAGTGTCCGTAAGTAAGCAATACCGGAGAATATCGCAGAAAAAAAAGAGTTTCATTGAACTTGGTAATGGCTTTTAGTGTAATTGCTGTTCTAACGGTTATTAGTTTGTCGGTTTTGCTTTCTCTTTCAATGGTATATAAAAAAATGTTGTAAAAAAATATTCTTCTGAATTTGGATTGTATTTCTGATGTGTACGTGAGTGATTTTGGCTTTGCTGTTGCCGTGTATTTTTTGTTTTCATTCATTTTTGTTTGTGTGTTGCTTTTTTTCTCCTTCTTTCATTTGCTTTATTTTTAACTTTTTGTGTGTTTTTCTTCTTCAGTTTTCTAAAATTAGAAAATTTAAATTATTTCTTTTTAAGACATAGAGCTGCATGGTAGACGCGGTGATCCCATTTGCGTTAGCACACGATCAAGCCATTGGAGTGGTCCATTCAAATGTAACTCAATCCAGCACGGTGTTGATGTCACAGTTTGTCGTCTATATGCGGACAATTGGATATTTGTAGGGTGAACAAAAATTGAACATACAATTGCAAAGAGTCAAATCAAAAAATTACCTGTATTCAGCGCCCCATCCTTTGACGAATGACATGCGAATCGTACACATTCGCGTCAATTGGTAGACAGCTTCAAAGCCTTGTGACACAGATTGTGATAAAAGAGCCGCAAATTCTTGATTGTTGAATATCTTCAAATTGCAACCTACGATGGCACGAACAAATATGTTCAATTATTATAAATCATCAATATTTGCTGCTAAGCGCACGACATTTCGAAAGGGAAAATCGGAAAAGTGCTGCATTTGTTGCTACACATACCCGGTGGAATTTTACAAACAGTAGCTGGATGCCAGCCATATCTTTGATTGCAATTCGGACTTTGAACAAATATACTTGAATCACTTAAGCATTCAGCAAAAACTTCACCGCCAATGTAGTAGAGGCGTACGCCTTTTCCAATGTGACGTCGTGTCTGTTCCACCACTTCATTTCGATTGACATTCGATAGGAGTCCCAAACAGAATCTGAATAACATTTTAAATAAAAGGATTAAAATCACATCGTTGACATATAAAATTTCAAAATCATCAGCTGACTGAGGCTCAAGATCCCTACCTTTCGGAATTGGATGGATCGGTGAAGCCATCAACGGTGATGGATGGCTGTGAGGCGTGAAATGTTTCACCGACACGTGTGTTGAGCTCATAGTAACCGATCGAACACCAAAATGCTGGTTCATGATAGAGCACCGGTTGTGCATCCAGTTGAGGACTCGGTGATATTCTTGTCATACCTTGTTATGTCAGAATTTTTTTTTTTAAAAAATAAACATTCACATTAATTCACAGAACCGGTATATAATTCGTATCCTTTTGAGCCATTTTTACGGGCAATCACCAATCAGCGGTCTCAAAACGATAAAATGACAACAAATCAAATTAATCAAATCACTTAAGATACCAACTCACTCATGTTATCATTTTGATCCATTGGATCACCATCTTCGGACATATAACCGGGCGGTGGTGTTTCTGTACTCGGGATACTGCCCACGGATCCGATGCTCACATTTGTGGAATCCATGATGGTGGTATTCCCGGGGATTTGTTGATTCAATGTTGCCTCCATGTATGGGATGTGTTGCTGATGCTGTTGCTGATGTTGTATACTTATGCCTGCAAAAAACACAAAAATGGCCCATTTGATTAGTTCCACGTTCGCGCCTTCCACGCCTTCCACGCCTTCCACGCCTTCCGCGCCTTCCGCGCCTCTATCAAACATTCAGACTCACCTAAATTTGGATATTGATGTGAAATGGAATCACTTGCGCTACCACTAAAACCGCCGCCAATCACGGCCGAATTCGATGAATGGCCGTTATTTAGATTGGCAAATTGTTGTTGCGACTGTTGTTGTGGTAAATTCTTTGGTACTAACACGTAAGCGAGCGGCTGTTCAATTTTCATGTAATGATATGGATTTATGCATACTTCGTCCTTTTTTAAATGGAACGCGTACTCGCAATTGTCCAGCGCTTTTAATTCATTTTGACTTTGTAAATCTGGCCAACGCCATAAACGGCAATAAATCACATGCGGCAATCCTTTACGCAAAGCTACACCGTTTTCACCATTCGTTGGACGCACTCTGCGATGAAAGAGAGAATGAGAGAGAAAAATCAAATTGTTAATACAAAATGACAATGTTGACGGAACAAACGAATCGTTCGATGACATTAATTGCTTTTTAAGCGGTTCAGTTAATCAAAATGTAATGATTTTTTTCTTTCTTTTTGGTAACATTTTTTTTTCGATCGATCCATTGACATTTACATTCAGTTTCATTTTCTTCGGATAATCCAACAATAGAACAAGAACTTTTCATTTCTCTTCGAAACATCGATGAACGAAAAGGAAGAGTGAGTGTGAGTTGAATTTGCATCTAAAATTTCGCACGTCTGTAAAATATTTCGCACAATACACTATTGTAGAGAGATTGATAGAGTGTGAGACAATTGAACAGTTAATTTCTGCGGGGCAAACATGCCGAATGTTGTCTGTGTTATGTATTTGTTTTAAAGGTCATTTCTAGAACTTTATATTTAGACACAAATATGATTATTACATTCGCTAAGTGCTTATGTATGTTTGTTTGTCTGCGCTTTTTGGAGCCAATAGACGATATATGTAAATTCTGTGTATGCTATGTGCTGTTGTTGTATTTTTCTTTTTGTTATTTTGTGCTTTTATTTCTTTGTGTCGTTGTTCCGTACATTGATTTTGTTGTTTCGTTGCTTTTATGTCTCTCCGCTGTGTTGTTTTTTTTCCCTCTTGTTGATGGTATGTCAAATTGTTCCGCGTATTGTGTTAGATTTTGTGTATGCTATGCGGCTGATCGAATGAGAGCCGCATACAAATACATTTGCAAATGAACACACACGGCTAGAGCCAAAAATAATTTATCGATTTTTATATATGCCATGTCTCTCTTTCACGCACATTGTCACATCAGACATACAGCCAAATCAAGCACCCAAGCAGTCAGCCAGCCAGTCAGCCAGCCAGTCAGCCAGCAGTCAGCCAGCAGTCAGCCAGCCGCACACATATAGGCACATGGAGCGTAGTGAAGAAGAAGACGACGGTAGGCAATATTTGTTGGATTTATACAGGCAAATGTGCCTTTAACTCGAGGCTAATATATCTCATTTCGTATTGTGCGTACACAACGCGCGCAAGTATATGCATACATATATTTACATCTATACGTTATATATTATAAACCGGTGAGAGACGATGAGGAACGAATTTTCAACACTTTCGATTGAACCGACAGAGAAAAAACAAAAACCACAAACGATTGTTGTTGTTGTTCGTGCATTTTGCGCAGGATTCAAATCCCAAGACACGGATCCATTTCGAAATTGCGTCATTAGCTTTTTTCAAAATAAAATTAAAAAAAAAACTGAATAGCAATGCATTTGGTTTGATGAAGGGAATGGGGAAAAAAAGTCATGACAAAATTAAGATTAATTTGCCGGCACAACCAAAACCATGACATTAACATAATAACGGAAACATTTGCAAATTAAGACAATGACATGCTGTGTGGTCTCACTCTATGTGATTACTTTACGCGGACATACAGACAACGACGACAACGAACAAAAACCGTCAACCGTTTTAGTTTCACTTTATTTTGTTTTGCTACAGTTGTTCCTGTGTTCGAATGTTACATTCGGTTTATTGTTTGTTTATGCTGCGATAAACTTTGTTTTGTTGTTGACGTTGTTGTTGTTGCCCATTGGTTTATAGTGGCGCTGTGGGTTTTCTATGTAAATATGGCAGCTTGCGTTTTGCATTGTGTTTTATGGCTGAAAGACACATGTATTAAGCCTTGCGACGAATTTTATATGCATTGCTGATGATGATGACAACAACAACAATAACGATAACGACGGCAAATAAAATAAAAATTGCATATAATCGCACAAACGATCGGGTGAGAGTCCGTTAAGCGGTGAAACGCTTTCACTTTTATCTTTGTTTCAGAAATACATAGTACAAATGCAAAATACGCAACGCAGATGCAAGTCGTGGTCTGCATGTGCTACTGCTGCTGCTGCTGCTTGTTGCCCATTCAGGCCGCACAAAGCACACAACGAAAATTCACTACATGTCGGGTTTTGTTTTTTTATTATCTTGTTTCTGTCTTGCGTTCAAAACAACCGATTCGATTCGGGAACATCGCGCATTCGGCCGAATTTACCCCCGTCGATTCGCACTCTGTGTTTTGAGATTGCAAATGCATTTTATTTTACACATGACTCACACTTATCTACGACTCTTTGATACTCACGCACTAAAACACACCGATCAAATATTTCTTTGATACTGTTGTAGGCACATGGACTTGAATCGTGCACGGAAAATAACCGATTGGTTTTTATTCGCTGTTTTTTTTCTCTTCCTTTTGTGTATATTCCTTTTTTTCGGTACTGTATTTTGTTTTCTGCTATATAGATTTATATAGTATATGCATAAACTCAGGTTTGTTTTTTTTTTTTCTGATGTCTGTTGTATTTTGGCTCTAGAATCAACTATGATATTTCGATTTCAGACAAACACAAACACACACACACATACACACGAATTTCCACCAAATAAACGCAAGCGAAAAATGATTCTTGAACGGCGCAATTTGGCACTAGCATTCAAATACACTCATCGCCACTCGCACATTTCACAAAATCACCAGAAATGAATGAAAACAAATGAAAAAATAAATAAATATATATATATATGTAATATGCCCAAATAAAATGTCAAGAAACAAGTACACAATGGTCGATTTATGTTGTTGTTGCTGTTGTTGTGTGTTCAATTGTTTTTGGAATCGGAATCGTTGCCGTGCGCTCAGCTCTTCGACAAATACGCCATTTTAGATTCCTCATCGAGGTTTCTATAGAATGTTCTTAGTTTCAATCGACTCACTTTTTTACTGTTGTGCACACAGTTCCTTGTTGCTGATTTATATTTTTTTTCTCTCTTCTCTACTTCTTCTTCTTCTTATTCGGTTGATTATGTACTTTACTCTATTCGTTCTTCTTCTTCTTTATTCTTGCTGGTTTCTCTTTGGCTGCACACTTATTTTTCCTCTTCGTCTCCTCTTCTTTCGGCGTGTATTCGTCTCGCGTTGTGTGTAAATTATTGTATGGTTCTCTTGTCTCTTTCTTTTGCTTCACTGTGTCGTATGTTGTATGTATGTTAAGAAAAAAAATTTGTTTTGTTGTTTTCTGTTAAAATATAAATCTATTTTGGCCGATGTTGTTGTTGTTGTGCCGTTTCTGTTTGGCGTTCACTTTTTCTCCTCGACTCTCTTGTATATATCGGTTATTCCTTTTGCTTGTCTGTGTATGAATCACTTGAATATGAGAAGAAGAAGAAGAAGGAACAGAAAAACCTTTGGGTTTTTTTTTCTCTCTATATTTTCGTTGTGCAGTAGTCTCACTTAATCAAGAATATACGACGATTATTATAAACGCTATGTTAAATATGCGTCCTGAGCTGTGTACGAAAGGGAGAGAGAGAGTGTGTTTTTGTGTGTGTGCTGATGCGGTAAAGTCGGCGTTTATGCGTTTTATAACTATACGTATATTTTTTTTTTTTTTTTTTGCAATTTAAACGCTTCAGCACAGCACACAGTTATTGTGTGTATGTGTATTCGGTGCGTGTACCAATGTATACGTGAATACGGTTCGGTGTACGCGCTTCGTTCGTCTGCACATTCTTGATGAATTTAACTTTTACTTATTGGGGTAGGACATCATTATTCCGTATGATTGTTACTTAGACTATGCTATCCGGCAATAGGTTTGCATGCGTGCACGTATGCTGCTCCTTCATTTCTTCTTCACTATACTCTATATACATTCTTCTCTCTCTCGTCGCTTCATACAATGTTTTTTTTTCTTCTTAAAACTTATTTATCGGGTGGTCGGAGAGCGCGTCATCGGCACAGACGATCTTCAGTGCGCCTGTGTACGAAGAACAACAACAACAAAAAATCCACACATTTTTGCGTATCGGCCCGTTGTGCTGCTCCGACTATGTGTATACTGTGAGTGTTGATGAATTCTTTTGACTGTACGACAATGGTATGCGTACAATGCGAACTACATTGAGCCTCTTCACGTCTTTCTAACACATGAATGGGAATACTATGCGCTGCATCGTTTTTATTATTGGGCTATGCATCGGTCGACTTTTTTTTTTACATTGTTGTTGTTGTTGTCGCTGTTTTTATATATTTTTTCGTTCGTTCGGCAGCGTCGACAATATGTTAATCTTCGTAATGAGATTTTAAAATAATTTGGAAGAAGAATAAAAGCGCTTTTCATCGAATGCTAACTTCATATATTTACACGGCGTGCAATTTTGTTGTTTTTCGATGACGATAACGATGAAATTATCCGATGAATAATCCATTTCTTTTCGTCGCTCATCACCTCATCAGGGATGTTTGTTTCGTTTATTCTTTCGTCGTTAATTATTCACGTCGCGAGCGGACGGTTGTTACAACAAAGTATCACGACTGATATCAACTAGATGAAAATGTCGTGTTTGCTCAATTCATATCATACCATCTGTTGTCATGCAATCAAATGAAACTTTTGAATTAGGCACAGAAAAAACAATTGTAGCGCGCACGAAAAAAAAATGATGATTACAAAACGATGATCAAATATACCTGTGTGTCTATCGATAGAGTATATTATAGTATCTTTTGCAAAATTCGTGGGTGTTTGTGGAAAATATTAGTAACATTTCGTTACGAACAAACATGAAAAATGGATATTGCCTGTGATGAGAGAAATAGGTGAATGGAAAATGTCAAGTATGCGTTCTGAGAATGTTGCGTGTATTGTCAAACTATTTACCGAAGCGAATGTGATCACCTGAGTCAATATCACTATGGAAATATGGGTTGTCGTTTGCAAGTGCATAAACTGTATTCTTTTAGTCGTTCGTTAATTTGCCCGATAATTCTCAATGGTATAACGATTTAAAGTAATCTGCAATCAATAATATTACGCCTCTTCAGGCAATAACTATTCCGATTAGGTGCTATTTCGATAGAATGTTCATCGGCTTACTACTAGTATCGGTGTTAGTTTTCCAACGAAAATCACAACCCAGTTTCACTTTTACTTTTGCTCAAATACCATTCTAACTAGATTCACCTCTAATCGATGCGCAAAACCCTGTCGATGACGGCGTCGGTTGTTGTTTTCAAGTTCACGGTAATGGTTTTTTTTCCTAACATGTCTCTATAGAAAAACGAAACTGTTCGTCAGCACTTAAATATTGAATACACTTTATAGTCATTACTTGTCTGCCATCCATTCTTTGTTTGGTTCACGCTATTTGTCGCGGAAAAAAAAGACTATGGCAGAAGAAAAAAAGAAGTGTATGTTGTTTGGGTTGTGCGGCGTGATCCATGTGTGTTTAAGTGGTTTGAACATGTCGTCGACGTCTATTTCCATTGTGCCATATTCTAATCGGATTGTGACTACTTTGTATTTACCGCAAAGTGTGAGTGTGTGTTTAATTGATTCAATTAGGTGAAGAGCTTTTTGCATACACCCCAAATATTGTATTAGGATATAAAGCCAAACAGTAAACAATTAACCTGTGTAATACACGGACAAACCCAACGACAGACCGCTAATATTGCCAGCGAATTTAAACGAAAGAAAGAGAAAGAAGAAACAACAACTTAAAACAATGTCCAATCCAAACAAATGCAGAAATATTGATGTTGACCACAGTTGGCGTTTCGTGTGTGTTTTTGTTTTATCTTTTCTTGATTGGTCTTTCAAGCGAAACCGTTTTGCATTTTTGACATACTGCTCAAGACATACACACACACAGAGAAACCGAGTCAAGCCAATAGAAGCAACGAGAAACAACAAAAAAATATGATCCAATGAACACAACAACAAAAAAAATGGACAAAACAAAATGCAAAATTAAACATGGTAAAACGCGATTTCATTCGGACATACACGTACACAAACACACCGGAGAACAGCCAGCCAGCCAGTCATCATCGGTGTGAAGTGTAGAGAATGAGAAATATATACGCTTTTTTCCCTGCTTTTGTTTTTATTCAGCTCTAACAATTGTATGAGCCGAACGCATATCCAACAAACAGACAGACAGACAGACACACACACACATACGCAATAATGAAAGACGCACCAAATTGAAAAATTGGTAAACATGTGCATATTATCGTCTTGTTTGTTATTCTATGCGCTTCCCGTGTGTGTATCTCTCCCTCTCACTCTTTTGCATTCATAGTCTGGCTCCTGTTTAAAGTTCGTTGCATTCAATTCATTTTTATTTGTGCAATCCAATTTTTGGTTGTCATTGCAGTGGAATATAAGCGGACTCAATTCATATGCGCGAAATGATCGAATAGAAGTGAAACCAACCAAAATTATTAGTTGCAATTTTTTCTTAGACCGTGAATATGTACTATATCATCAATTCGCATACGAGCAATAGAATAATCGGATCAGTCTCTCTTTTTTTTTCCTTCGGAGGAGTAAGCCAATGAAGAATTTGTTTTTAATATGCATAGAATGGATGACTGGTTTTCATTTCGCTACAAAATATGTAACGCTGCTTTGAATTTCGCTGACGTGCTCTCACACACATATGCACACTCTTCTTATTTATTCGATCACACAGTCATAATGTGTGGAAATATCCTTGACTAATTTGCGAGGCAACGCCAACATCGTGTTCATCACCTATGTCGGAATGTCAGACTTTGTGGACAACATTTTTCGATGCTGACGAATGCAGCATGAGAAACCGATCATGCTGTGCGAAAAACAACAACCACGACAAAAGAATAAGAAGAACACGAAGAAAACAAAAAGCTCGGATGGAAAATAAATATACAGTGTATGATCAGCGAGAGACAGAGAGAGAGAGAGAGAGAGAGAGAGAGAGAGAGCACGGCCCGCATTTCAACGATTGACAAATGACATATTTATCGAAGACTTGGCACTCATTGGGCTTGCATAGTTGAGTTAATTGTTTCAGGCAATTGTTCAACGTTTCGTCGATTCGAAATTGAAATTTTGTCGAAACGTAAATATTACTTTTGCAAATTGGATAGCTGTCGATGTGCGCACAACATTGTAGCAACAGCAGCAGTAGATTCAGTCTGGTGCCACAAACAAGCTCATTCGCATATTTCATTTCGGTATGTCATTTTATTTGTCATGAGCACGCTCACATCTGTTCGATGTCGATGCATCTGCGAAGCGAAATCAAATAGACTCCGGAAATGTTTGTCGCATGTTTTGACTTATTCTTATATAATTTGGTTTCGCGTTTTTTTGCACGTTCATCTCTGCCGAATACAATTTAATTCATCGATGCAATGCTTATTTGTCTAAGTCCATCCAATTAGATTTATAATTGGTATGGAATGGCAAATTTTCCGTTGGAATCAGAAATTACGACCAGTACTGAAGGATGATGCAGACTTGTAAGATGAATACAAAAACAGAATAAGATTAATATTTACCTGGGTATTGTGACGCATTTGGTGTATGGATTTTGCGTTGAGATCGCTTTTTCCAGCTCTTCGAGTGCGCTAGTTTTTTTCAATTTTTTCACCAGACTTTTGACCGCTTTCTCGGACCATTTACCCTCGATGGACGAGTCATCGTTGCCCTTCTTCCACGCCAACAAACGTTTCACGATTGGCGGTGTAAATGGCAACATTTTTCCGGTGGCGATTACGCGGTATGTGTGTGTAAGACAGTTTTTTTTTTTAAATTATTCTCAAAAATGAAAATCGTATCAATCGCTGATGCGTCTAGGATGTTCTCTCTTTATGCACACTATTTTTCTTTTCTTTGTATTATTGTTTTTTTTTGTGCCGTATTTTGGCGTACTGTCGTTCGGTCGATAACAAAAATCGTCGAGTTGAATCCTACTTTATAACCATTTAGTGTATCGAATCTACTTTGGTCGTGCGAATGATTATGTAGTCGAATCGGCTGTCTATTTCGCATATACACACATGAAACGGACTACGACGGCGACGACGACGACGACGACAACAACAATAACAAAAACAAAGGAAATCCTATCTATATATTTACATACGTATAATCAAATCGTTCATAAAAATTGAACACATGTAACTCTGTGCGCCTCATACACCGCATTCAAATCACTCGCTCTCACACTGTCTGTCTCTCAATCGCACTAACTGCTTGCTGTCTATGTCCTCTTTGTCTGTTTCTCACTTTTCACTGAATTAACATATCGCGAATGCCGAGACGAATAAACAAACGCACAAAAAGAAAAAAATAAATCGTTGAAGATTGAAATTAGAATGAAAATATTCGTGTCGAATGAAGAAGAGGACACCAAATGTAGAGAGTTTTTATGCTCTTGTAGTTTTTTTTTTCTTTTTAGTAGCAATTTGTCAACACCTCTTTTTTTTACGTTACAAAAAGTCAACGATTCACAATTTAGCCATCAAGAGTTGATTAACTATTTGCCATATCGGCGGCGATGGCGGTAGCGGCAACGGCGTTTTCTGATTTCATTAATTTTTTTTCTCTCACTATTTCTCCTATCGGTTCACTTATCAATTTTATCAAAACGAAATTTTGTGATCCGATTTACGCAAAACGGGGTATGACGTCGGCGATCAGCAAAACTAAATACACAACCGAAACTGTTGCCTTAATCCTGAATCAATTCAAAAATAAATGAAAATTAAAAAAAAACTATTGAAAATGGAACAGAATTGAAGAGAAAAGAAATTTAATCAAAATCTAATGTCGATAGAGAGAATAATCGCAACCGAATCAAGTACACAGACACACACGCACACGCAATTCGAAAAAAGAAAAGAAAAACCGATTCACAAACAACAAGCAAAGAAAAAAGCGGAGAGAGCCCAAGACATTTAGCCCGTTTAGTCTGTACAGTGCCAGCACTATAGACACATTATTTATTCTCGCATGCACATCATAATAAAGAATGAAAATGAGAAATATAAGCGCTGCGAGTACTGATACACATTTAACACATGCACAATGGGGCTTGAGACCGTGTAGACACACGAGTGTGGTTAAAAGATTCTCTGTGTGCTTTTTTTTTATATTTCGTGCATATTTCGTACGTCGCATATATAGCGAGAGAGAGATAGATTGAGAAAAGAGCCCGAAAGCAGAGCGCGCGGCAATGCCAATATGACGATGGCGACCAAACGTTTTTCGTCTATCTATATGTTTATTTATGTGTGTATCGCTATCTCTCGTTGATATTTTCAAGTCTCAATGATTGCGATGACGACGACGACGGCGGCAACAACGACGACCGATGTCGACCAAATAAGAGAAGAAGAGACAGGAAAAAAAAACAACAACAGAGAGAATCAAAAATATTGAAAAAGTGCGCTCTTCTTTTCGCCGTTCCTTTTTAAAGCATTCATTTTAATGTTCACGTGAATGATGTGCGAAAAACCGATGCCAATGAAATTCAGCACCGATTTTCAACAGCAAATTTCAAACAGGCGACCAGAAATCAAATGACGACAACCGATGGTTGTCTCCTTTTCTTTCTTTTCTTCGCTTTATTTTTTCTTTCAGTTATGCATTTGACAAGTTGCGATACGCAATAACGACCATACAAATCGCACTTATGAATTGCACCACGACGTCGACAACGACGTTGACGACGACAATGATGATAACAACGATAATGTTTATAACAACGGTGAATTGATATGTGTGTTTATAACCTTCAACCCGAGAGAGCGAACAAGTCGCGCATCGATGACGAAAACACAAAACGAGAAACAAAAACAACGGGAAAAAAATATTATTGCGTTTTAAACGAAAAATTAACCATCTAATTACTAATATCATTCCTTCCGAATTGAAACTGGACTTGAATTGAACGCGCGCGCGACCAAACTGAACGAAAAAAAAAACCGAATTCAGTTCAGGAAATATCGCGGTACAATCTTTTATTCGCCTTTCTCAAATGAATATATAAAATGGTATTTTTTTTCTGTATCGTTGCCGCTACTGCTGCTGCTTGTTTGCTTTTCGATCGGTTGTTTTGCGATGCGTAACGAAATTTCGGTGAGACTCGATATACCGAATTCTATTTGAATATTTTGCCATAAACTCTCACTTGACGATCGACTATCGCACACAGTGCATGTCGACTTCAAACCGATCGACAAAAAAAAATGTGCGACCGTTTTGCATATATATGTGCCACACTCTCTATACAATTGCGTATATATACGCGACAATTTGGTTTTTTTGCCTTCGCTCTCTCTCTCTCTCTGGTTCCATTTTCATTCGTATTGTGTATTGAGAGAATTGCATATATGATCATTCTATTTGATTTGTTCTTTTTCTTTCCCTTCGTTCTTTTTCTCTACCGTCTCTCTGCATTCGAATGGTATCATACGGGCGATGCGTTCGCGCAGCAAAACAGTAGTCCGTGCCAGAGGTTCATGTTGACAGATCCTTGAGAAAGTTCGATGTGTAGCGCCAAAGGGGCAATGAAATCGCGAAAAGCAGGAGAATAACACTCATTCAATGTCGATACTCATTCGAATGAATCGGTTCACACCAAAATGAAGACTAGTCTGTTCGAATAAGTACAACGGTTTTGCGCATAAAAATCTGACTCATATTCTGCACACAATTTGCACGATAAATTCAATCCATGGCAAAAAAAAATATGAACTTCTTTCGATTGGAAATCGCATTTTACTTCATGACTATTTTTAACGAACATTGTTTTCTTTTTTTAAATCAACCTGTGCTCAATAGCACGGGTTGATTCTGATTGTGCATTTGATTCAAATTCGAAATCGGATCACATTCACTCACCGGACCACTTTAGATATCACATTACGTCAAATTGGTTCGAAACAATAGTTGACGTTTCTATGAGCTGAATACAATCATTTCAAATCAAATCAATTGCATTTAATTGGCTATATTGGAAATGTTAACCACTGTTTACACCAATAAATCGGAGCAAATGAGTAAAAAAAAGGGCATTTGAAGCGATTGTGTAAAATGGCAAACGTCCAAAAATTCAAGTATGATTCGCATTTGACAGTTCTACCACTTGCCGTCTCACTCTCATTCTCTCACTTTGATGTAACCAGACCACAAACAGCAAACGAATAAGAAGAAGAATACGACGACGACGACGACGTCAACCAAAAGTCACACAACATTCAACCAAAGACTCAACAAACTCTGTACGATGTTTGTTTGTATGTATGCTAGAAAACGCTAAATAGAATAGCACACGGTGTGAACGGCGCGTTCCAATGTGAGTGTGTGTCATTTCGTTTTAGTGAGTTTTGTGATGTCTCGATTTGTCTGTGTATGTGTGTATAGTTTAATGGCTGCCATTGTACGATTCCTTTGAACACAGTAACTTTTTTTTTATATTCGACCAGTTTTGAATTGCGTCTGGTGTTTGCTGCTGTACGACAAGGCGTGCAAATTAACAACAAAATCTGTTTTCAATTCCACATCTTTCATTCGTTTCATCCCAAATCACGGTATGTATTAGATTTATTATTTAATTTCGTGTTTAATTTTAGCCCATACGAAATGAGAAGTGAAAAAAAATTGAACAATTTGACGAAACAGAAAGGAAAAAAAAAATTCCTTGGATTTGGTGATGATTCCACTTTGCCAAATGTGCATTTGGTTTTTTCGTCCTCGATGAAATGATTGAATCGTAATTTTTTTATGATAATTTTCCATTTTTGGTGTATTTGTGATTCTTATCGTTCGCTGCAACCATGCTGCGTTTAAAGTGCAGACAAAGAGTCTTGTAGAGTAGTAGCAGTAGACAGAAGAAAAAAAAATCAACAAAGTAAAATGTGTGACATTTCATCATTGGATGAACTAAAGAATTTGTGTTTTGCATACCATCCGCAATTGTGATTAATGGCCATTTGCATGAAAGATTATAGATTATTCTCCCGAAAAAAGAAACAAAAACAACATAAAAAAACATATCGCATTGCTGTAAGTCATCCAAAATACGATCGAATGAGTAAGAAATGTTTCGTCAAATTGTATGCGATTTGTTTTCTTTAAATCTTGTTTTCTCCCTCTCGGCCTCGTTTCCTCTCTCTCTCTCTCTCTATCTCTCGAAAGCTTGTCACCAATCCACACAGTAAATGAGCGATCTGTCCACGTCTTTTTTTTAGCAGACTCCAAATCAGAGTGCGAATTGATTGTGGTGAAATTGTATGTGCTTGTCACATCAATGGTTTTTTTTTCGTTTCATTAGTGTTGATGTGTTTTACCTGTTTATTTTTCTTTCGGTTGTGCGCTGTATCGACAGCTGAAAATTGATGTTTGTCCTGAAAACATCATTCAAAATGTTTGTGTGCATATAATCGAAACGAAAAAAAAAAAAATGTTCAAATCCATGAAAAGGAAACCAAATCAATATTTGTTCTGGTTGTTCGATTCACTTATTCCGACGTCTAAATATTCGAAATAAAAATAAAGGTTCAATATTCTTTTTTGTTGTATGTCGAACATCAAACGCGATTCGAAGCTGTCACAATGTTCGATTTTGCAACGGCAATCGAAAATGACAATCAATTCAGTTGAGCTTTGAGCCCATTGTTCTCTTTTGTTCCAGATTTGCCAAGTTAACAATTTAGTTTCTGGTGTGTACGCTTTTTTTTTGAGCTGTTGTCTTCTGTGCTCATTGTTGTTTGTTGTGTTGCCTAAAAATTCAATAAATACAGTTAATTTTATGCAAGTTCAAGTAGTCAATCGAAGTCATCGCAACCACAATACAAATCGAACGACAGTAGAAAAAGCACGTATCGAACAGCGTACACTCTACGATGTAACCAAAATATACAAAAAAAACACTGTGAACAAATTACCCGCCACTTCGACTAATAATACAATGGTGCAAATGGTGCAGGGAATTAACCACGCACAAACAGAAAAAAAAATGGAATATTTTAGTTAAACGTGAATTTGTGTGTTTTTATTTGAAAACAAATATAAATTGTATATTTTTAGTGGAATATTTTTCGTATGAAAATTAGTTGAGCCATTTGTTTTATCGGTGTCGTCATTCGTTTTCTAATTGTTTTTAGTTTGTCATTTATGTATTTACAGTTGGAAAATTTAGATCAAATTACAACACAACATGGCGGCGAATTCGAATTCCCGATCCGTGGACCTGGATAAAGTGAGTGCTAATTGATCAGGAACACGATTATTACGTGCCGTGTCAAATGTGCATTTACTAAATTTTTTAGTTGTATTTACAGATATGGACGACTCTGAAGGAAGGCATCACGCAGATTTACAAGCGAGAGCCCAGTCTGACCATGGCGCAGTACATGGATTTATATACGTAAGTTTGCAACCTCACTTTCATCACATCTCAACATGTGCCAGCTAACATGTGCATTCCATATTTCGTTTGTAGATTGGTGTACAACTACTGCACCACGGTACAGAAGAACAGTAAAAAGTCCGTCAGCCTAAATTCTGGTACAGCCAAAGGTGGCGGCGCTGAACTCATTGGTCAAGAACTCTACAAACGCTTAAAGAACTTCTTAGAAAATTATTTAATTGATTTGTTAAAGGTACGTACAATTGTGGGCTTCAAATTCGAATGCAATATAGCAAGAGACTGAACATTTTGTGTTTTTTTTTCCGAAACAGAGCGGATCAAATTTGATCGACGAAGAGGTGTTGACATTTTACACCACAAAATGGGTTGAATACCGATTCTCGAGCCGTGTACTGAACGGTGTGTTCGGCTACATTAATCGTCAATGGGTTCGTCGTGAATGCGAAGAGGGTCACAAAGATGTCTACGAAGTGTATCAATTGGCATTGGTCACATGGCGCGAACATTTGTTCAAGCATCTCAACAAGCAAGTTACAAATGCCGTACTTAAACTGATTGAACGTGAACGCAATGGCGAAACGATCGATTCACGGCTTATTTCGGGTGTTATTTCTTGCTATGTGGAATTGGGTGTTGATGAAGAGGCACCAAATGCACGTGGTCAAAATTTGTCCGTGTACAAGGAAAGCTTCGAAGATGTTTTCCTACAAGACACCGAACGCTTCTACTCTGCCGAAAGTGCCGAGTTCCTACGACAGAATCCAGTTACAGAATACCTGAAACGCGTTGAGCAACGTCTCAACGAAGAATCAAAACGTGTCCAAGTCTATTTACACGAAAACACACTCGCCAGCCTGGCAAAGACCTGCGAACGTGTCCTGATCGAAAAACATTTAGACATATTCCGTACCGAGTTCCAAGTGAGTCTTTATACCCGAACAAATAACTACATTCAAAGTCAAATGGAATGGTGTTTCTTGATTTGTTGACGATGTGATTTGAAATCATCATGATACAGAGTTTATTAATATAAATAACCGCAATTTGAATTTCCTTCATTAGAATCTACTGGACTCGAATAAGAATGTCGACCTGGGTCGTATGTACTCACTCGTGTCGCGCATCAGCGAAGGACTCAAAGAACTGAAAACGGTTTTAGAAGAACACATCCATAAACAAGGTGTTGAAGTGATTGCCCAATGCGGTGATGCTGCAATAAATGTAAGTAGATTCGACCCTCCACCAATTTCCATCGAATAAAATGAATCATCCGTCTCATACACACATTTGTGGTATATCGATTTTGTCAATTTCAATAGGATCCAAAAGTATACGTCCAGACCATCCTCGAAGTGCATAAGAAATACAATGCTCTCGTTTTGGTCTCGTTTAAAAATGATTCGGGCTTTGTGGCAGCTCTCGACAAGGCATGTGGTAAATTCATTAACACAAATGCAGTCACAACGACCAGCAAAAATACAAGCAAAAGCCCCGAATTGTTGGCCAAGTACTGTGATTTATTGCTGAAAAAATCCAGTAAAAATCCCGAAGAAGCCGAACTCGAAGATACTCTCAACCAGGTGATGGTCGTATTCAAATACATTGAAGACAAGGATGTGTTCCAGAAATTCTACAGCAAAATGTTGGCCAAACGTTTGGTCAACCACACATCGGCCTCGGACGATGCGGAAGCATCAATGATTTCCAAACTGAAACAAGCCTGCGGCTATGAATACACAATAAAATTACAACGAATGTTCCAGGACATTGGCATTTCCAAGGATCTTAATGATAAATTCCGTCAGCGAATAAAAACATCCGAAGCGCCAAATGAAATTGATTTCAGCATTCAAGTTCTGTCAAGTGGTTCGTGGCCATTTAGTCAAAGCTTTAACTTTTCATTGCCATCCGAGCTAGAACGGTCTGTACAGCGTTTCAATCACTTCTATGCCGATGTGCATTCCGGTCGAAAACTCATCTGGCTGTATAACATGTGCAAAGGCGAAATTGTGACGAATTGCTTCAAAAATCGGTACACATTGCAAGTGAGTAGTGTCTCGTTTTCTTTTTCACCATATAAAATTCAATTTGCTCATGCATTGTCTAATGATCGTATTCTTCTTTCTACAGGCGAGCACATTTCAAATGGCTGTGTTGCTACAATTCAACGAACAAACTAGTTTGACGGTTCAACAACTTGGTGAAAATACCGGTAAGACATAAGCACACACATTCAAAGCCGAATTCAAGCATATTGCGATTAAATGCCCTATATCTATATTACAAATTTAAGAACGTTTTAAATGTGTCATTTTTTCTCATCGCGTTCCAGGAATCGCTCAAGAAAATTTGCTTCAGGTGTTGCAAATTCTTTTGAAGGCAAAATTGCTGACATGCTCAGACGAAGAAAGCAGCTTGACTGGAGCATCAGTCATCGAATTGTTCTTGGCATACAAAAAGTAAATACATTCACATGTGCAACCATGAACTAAATAGCTCACGATCGGATGATTGTGGCTCATTAGAGATTATTTCCATGATCAACAGTTTTTTTTTTCGATCGAAAGACAAAGCAACTAATAACATGTTCATTTTGTGTATGAAATTAGCAAAAAATACCGCATCAACATAAACATCCCGCTGAAAACCGAACTGAAAATTGAACAGGAAGCGACGCATAAGCACATTGAAGAAGATCGAAAACTACTGATACAGGCGGCTATCGTGCGTATTATGAAAATGCGTAAGATTCTCAATCATCAGAATTTGGTCGGCGAGGTACTCACACAACTGTCGACACGTTTCAAGCCCAAGGTTCCCGTCATCAAGGTAAGTTTTTAAACGCTCGACTTTTGACTTGCTTAAATTCCTTAGTGATTTCTCTGTGGATTCATTTAACTAATGCAAATTTTTGTCCATCAACAGAAATGCATCGATATTCTCATCGAAAAGGAATACTTGGAGCGAAAGGAGGGTCAAAAAGACACTTACAGCTATCTGGCATGATTTCACTCAAACTTTCATCTACGCGTTTCAATCGGATTGTATTTTTTAATCTGATAATAGTTTAAATTTTTTTCATACAAACAAAACAAAAGAAGAAAAAAAACCACAACCAACTACAAACAAGTAAAAAAAAAAGTTTCCAATTTTCGACGTTTAAGAATCATGCTGCTTTTTCCATTCGCGTCTAAGAAACATAAGCGAAATTTAAAATCCAGAATTAACTTGTCGCCTTGCCGTTTTTCAATTCATACCGCTCACCGATAGATCGACCAAATCGAAGACTAGTCTGCTGGAGCCAACTAACTCTATCGATTCCATACACCGCAACAAATAGTTTTCCGTTTATTTTATCTTTACAAATCCATTCTCTCTCTTTTTTGTTTTCACATATATTTTTTTTTTCTTTTCGCTATTTGCTATTTGAAATCACTTTAAACGCTAAAAGAACATTATTTTCCATCGCCGTTTGTTGTTTGTTATATTTTTTCACTTATAATTTCTTTCCATTTACAGCAATGATGAAACATCAAAAACATTTTTAGTTGACATTTTGCAAATAGAAAAAGATCAATGTTAAAGAAGCAGTAAAAAAAAAATGAAAATAAATTTAAATACATTATCGTGTGGTGTTTTATTTGTGTACACAACTTCATCATCCAATGTAGCCTTTCCGAAGCCGTTCAAAATTTCCTTGTTTAGATATGGAATTTTCGAATTGAATCACACTGGAAAACGTATTTCATCACAGAATCAGAATTTGTGGTGTTTTGTATAGTCACAATGGACCTGCCTCTGAAATGGTTTTTTTTCTTCTCTTCAATATCATCGATTGGACATCAGACAATTCGGAGCAAAAAAAATCCGGAAAAAAATCATCTTTTTTGTGAGCGTTTCATTTTTGCCATGTCATCCGCGTTGCTCATCAAATCGATATAGGAGAAATTGGTCATTTTCTTAAATCATAGATCATTTTCTTAGATTCATCCAAATTAATCTGTCTACGAATTTTTCGTTTTACAACACGCCGGGAAATGGCATTATTTAAAAATGGACTGAGTCGATCATTCTTCATTAAGGTTTGTTCATGTGCAGAGAAACACACAACGAGCGAGACACAGAGAGAGAAATCGAAACGGTTAAAATCGGTTCAGTTTTTGACAGTTCGCTTGTTGCCTGCTGATTTGACCGATCGTTGTCGGTGCGAACGTGAATCAGTATATTTTGTTCGCACCAAGCAATCGCATCCAATTTCGCAGTCTTCTCTCACACGTCGGATACACAACAACGTCGCACACTTGCGCTGTCAAACAAATGCAAATGTGTGTGCGAGTTTGTTTGTAGGCAACAAAAAAAAAAGAATCTACAGAAACTATTAAAATAAAATATTTGCAATTTGTTTTTTTTTGTTAAGACCCCAATCACTTATCAGCAGGCAATTTTTTTTTTACTGTAATCTATTCAAAATCGTCCTCGATCTTATTTCCATTGCGATTTAAAACGTCATATATACTGATAAAATATTCGCCGAACTACATTTTATTGTGAAATTCCAACAGAATCTCACATTTCTCGGGAATACCGAGACGTAATGAGTCATAGGCACATTTTAAACGCGTATTAGAAGAAGTCAAATTGTTTTATTTTTCATCGTTTCTACTTGCATCAGCTGTTCAAGTGTTATTATCATGGCGGGTCAACAGGAGGAACGAAACAACAACGACAAAGATGAAAAGGTAAGCGCAATTTTTTCGTGACTTTTAATGCAAAACACTTTGCAATCAATTTACCGGAATTGTTTTTTTTTTCGTTCAATAGATGCGACAGATATTTCTGGATCGCATGAAGCAAATTTATCTCGACCGAAAAATGACGAAAGCCGAATACATGGAATTTTATACGTAAGTTTTTTTTTCTTGGAATAGCCGGCATATCGACATGATTCTGAATCCAGGCTCAAATCAACCTATTCAATTGTTTGGTTCAGTTTTAATTTTGTTTGCAATCGAGCGCTCGCTTCAAAATGTGATTGCTTTGTTGGTGAGATATTTGTGACATTTTGCCAAGGTAAGGTTTGTATTTCGCAAAAAAATGTTTCAATTGAGAAAAAAAGTGCGTCACTCATACAGTTATGGAATTTCGGAATGTTGATCATCCGAATGAAAATTATGTTTCCATATAAAGAATGTTTCTATTTGTTTCAAAACTGTTCGGTCAAGCGTATTCATGAGTTCCGCATAAAAATTCATGTTCGAAATGATTGTCAAATGTCAAACTTGTGTGTGAATACTGTGTATTGTATGTACCAATGTATGCACCGACGGTTGTTTAAGTGACAGATAGCAGTATTTCGGTTTCGGTTTACGATTTAAAAAAAAAAAACAGAAGAAAATCAGCATAGATTTCAGCTCCTTTGGAGAATTGAGCTGTAGAATGCACTAAACGTGATGGAAACTCTATTATCATGTTTTAGAACGATTGAAATACATCTTGTTCCCCTATTCTAATACGAACGATGTATAACGATACGAAACCAAACGTCAATCAGTTACACAAAAACGCAAACTCTTGCGTAGCTCAAACGGTTATCTCTTAATACAATGACGAAAAGTGCCGAGAATTTCGGCATTAGTCATCGAATATGTGTACAAGAACGACTTATATTTGCAAACGGTCATTATTTCAAATATTTTCCTGGAAGTGCTATTGAGATTAAAAACATTTTGAATAATTCAATTTTAAATTCGCCTTTTTCGATCGTTTTGCCAAAAAAATTTCTTCAGTTTTGGTTAATCACAATATTTTCTGTTCATCAGACTGATCGTTGACTACTGTGTGAAGGGAAAGGAGTTGAATGTGTGGATTCACGCGAAAGATAATCAGGCAACATGCGGATACAAACGTATTAATACCAAAGTGAAAGAGTTCTTAGATGAGCACATCAAGGAAATTTCAGCGGTGAGTGTTGCCATCTTATGTTACGAAACAATAAAAATCTGTGTTCAAACATTCAAAACATATTTTGTATACATGATGACCTGTTCAAATTTAAAATTTTCTTGCGGTAACCTTATTCCATAAAATTGTATTTTTCAATAATAGAGAACACCCGATTCTGACCAAGACGAAATATGCTTGGAATATTATTGTGCCGAGTGGACCGATTTCCAACGGTCAAGCAAAGTTCTGAATGGTGCATCGGCTTATTTAAATAAGCAACATCATAAGAAAGATGCTGATGCTGAAACGATCGAACAGATTGCATTGCACACATGGCGTGATCATCTGTTTACACATCTGAATCAAAAGGTTGCCAACGCAGCTCTACGGATGTTGGAACGAAGCCGAGCTGGTGAGCGAATCAATTCGGCCGCAATTCGAGCTGTCGTTGAATCATACATTGAGCTCGGTATTTTGGAAAGTTCATCTGATTCAGAGAGTACAACTGCACATTTGACGGTATATTTGATTTTTCACTGGAATTGTTTATATCGTATTGAATGAACCTGTTGATGTAGCATCAATTGAGTTGAATCCATTGAAATAATGGATAACAATTGATTTCCATAACTGAATTTCATATGAAAATCTCCCATTCGAATAGGTATACCGAGAGTTCGAGAAGCGTGTTCTTGAAGGTACCGAAATTTTCTACATCAAGGAAAGTGGTGCTTCCATTGAAAAGTTTTACACTGAACAACATTCATTCGTCAAGTACATGGACCATGTGAAGAAGCGTATTGACGAGGAAATGAAGGACCGTATTAAGCTACTCCATGTCACAACCGAAGAGCCGTTGATGGCAGTTCTTAGCGATACATTGATTAAAAAGCACTTGGAGCTATTTGACATCGAATTTCGGGTAAGATGTCACACATTTGCAAGTGCATCGGCATTTTGTTCTAAAGAAAATTGCTTTTGTTCAATTGAAAACAGGTAATGTTATCAAATGAAAAGAACGAGGACATGGGTTTGATGTGTTCATTGGCCGTTAAGGCAGATGTTGTATTGAAACGATTAAATGCTATCTTAGAAGAGCATGTTACCAAAGAGGGTCTGGACAAACTGGAGAAAGGTGCCGATGAAGCTGTTAAAGTGAGTCAATTTTGATAAATTCAACGTGGCTTCAGCTTCACACACTAATCACGTTTGTTCTCGTTCTTCCACAACAGGATCCAAAAGTGTACATTGAAACGATATTATCGGTACACAAAAAGTATCAGTCACTCGTACGCGATCAGTTTAAAAATGAGATTGGCTTCGTGGCTGCACTTGACAAGGCCTGTAGCAAATTCATTAATCAAAATTCTGTGATCACAAAAAGTGGAAACCCCAATAAAAGTCCAGAATTATTGGCGGCTTACTGCCATATTTTGCTAAAGAAATCGAATAAAAATTTGGAAGAAGCCGAACTGGAAGATTCGCTCAATCAAATGTTGACTGTGTTCCGATACATCGAGGATAAAGATGTGTTCGAGGTGTTTTACAAGAAAAAATTGGCCGAACGTTTGGTATGAATTTTGACTAAAATTCTTTTCTATTGTTTCCGATCGATATTTCTGTGTATTGAACACGAGTGTTGCATTTGTCTCTTCTTAGATCGAGCAGTTATCCGCCTCTGATGATGCCGAAGCATCGATGATCTCCAAAATGAAGCATACATGCGGTTACAACTACACAAACAAGCTACAGCGTATGTACCAGGTACGAGTGGAAAGCAATGGCCAAAAAAAAGAGAAAACTATGGTGCTTTGACTTCAATGCTCAAATTTATTCTTTCGTTTTCAGGACATTGCTGTGTCAAAGGACATAAACGACAAATTCCGTCAACGAATCGCATCGGGCGAACCACTCGACATTGATTTCCGCATACAAGTTTTGACTCATGGCTCGTGGCCATTCACACAAAGCATTACATTAATGCCACCGCCGGAGATGGCAAAAGCAATGGAACGATTCACTGCTTACTACAAAAGCCAGCAAAATGGACGTCAACTGAATTGGCTGTACAATCGATCAAAGGGTGAATTGCTTATGAAAACCGAAAAACAGCGTTATTTCATCAAGGCCAACACATTCCAAATGGCCATCTTGCTTCAATTCAACGAACAAATAACATTCACCGCACAACAAATCCACGACAACACGGGCATCAACAAGCATTATCTGTACCAGATGCTAGCGCTTTTGGTGGTGAAAATGAAACTGTTGAAAAGCGCAGACATGGCCAACATAACGGACAGCTCGGTCATTTCACTGAATACAAATTATACTGGGTAAATAATGAATAATTTTTGAATCATTGATAAGCGCCATTTGAAAATTGAGCTTTTTGAAAATTTTCATTGAACTTGGTTCTGATTTGGAGGCAATTAAAACTGTACTGATTCTTGTGTTTTTCTCGTAAATTTCAGGCCAAAATTGCGTTTCGACATATCGGGTGTGCGAATGAAATCCGAACAGGAGAGTGATAGTAAAGCCACACACAATGGCATCGAAGAGGATCGTCGTCATTTGATCGAGGCAGCCATCGTTCGGGTCATGAAAATGCGGAAGACACTTAAGCATCAAATTCTCATTGGAGAGGTAATCGAGCAATTGGCCGCCAAATTCAAGCCGAAGATTCCAGCAGTTAAGGTATCATTCGTTGATTTATTTCCAACCGATTCATCTGTAATCGCTTTTCTTTCATTTGAAATTTATGCAACTGTTTCAATCATTTTGCAGCGTTGCATTGATGCGTTGATCGAGAAAGAGTACCTGGAACGTCATTTAACGGAAAAAGATACTTACAATTATTTGGCATAATTTTCGAATCCAGTTGCCTTCATCACTGTAGGGAAAACATACTAACTCATTGAAATCATACGAACATTTACCTCGACAAACACAGCCATCCAACGAAATTGTGTCTTTTTTGCGAAGCCAATTTTATTTTTGTATCAAATTATGACAAAGTTAAAAGAAGATATAACGTTTCCAAAACCGAAAACAAAAACTTACGCTTCGCTCTTAGACTTGGCGGTTTGAAATGATTTCGCAAATACATAATACTACTTGTTAATTGATTCTTTAAAAAAAAAAAATCGTTTATAAAAAAAAATTTTTAATAAAAAAGATGATGATGCAAAAAATCTGGGTATTGCATTCATTCAAAAATTAAATGTTTCTGCTTTTCTGTTTTTCACCACCGCATATTCACCATACAGATGCATTCATCGTATGGAAATCGCGTATGGTAACGTGTTCCGTCTGTCAAAAGTGATGACGAGAGATGTGAGATGGTTTGCATATATATATATTTATAAATCCAGAGCCATGCTGCTTCTATTGCTTCTTTCACATCCGATGGCATGCACTGTACACAGTCTCGTTTATGTTTGGCAAATATGGCACTACAAATGCAAAGAGCGCCATATTTTATTTTCAATTCAAAAACAAGCACAAAACATCGTTACACACACTCACATATACTCACAACATACACACATTATGTCACATACAACGACACATTCAAACGTCATTTTCAACTGAAATCGCTGTTTGAATCAGCAGCAGAAGCAGCAGTATTAGTAGTATATTCAGGGGGGATTCGAACAACGCACAACCGGAATTCATGTGTGCGCGCTCATTTATCATGGTATTGGTGTTATTTGGTGTATTTTCGAGATGTATGGAAGTTGTTGTGCTGTAGAAGCGCGATGATGATTTCCGAAGAACACACATGAAGCTGCATGTCATAAAGTACACATAACACACATACACACAGGCAAAATTATTGCATGGCGTACGAAACTAAAAAAAACACACACATTTCTCTCTCTCTCTCTCTCTCTCTCTCTCTCTCTCTCTCTTGCGCACACACACACGTTCTATTCACTTCAAAGATTTCAGTGAGTCCAGTTTTATGTTTCAATTCACTCGTTGTCTTCAATTCAAGTTTGACGTGTCTTAATTTCCATTGAATCAACGCGACGAACGATAGCAACAAATAAACATCAAACGAAGAATCACATCATTTCTTAAATTGATTTGAATTCCAAAGCCTGGCGAGAATAAATATTTTCGACTTTTAAAAGTATTTCATTCAAAGAAACCGACAAAAACTTGGTGGACAATCCGAATTTCCGAATAAATCGCATCGATGGTGTAAATTTGTGTGGTTTTGGAAGCGATAAAGACTAACAAGCAAGTATTAAAACACCAAACGTGTGCAGAACAACATACCATTTGAGATGAACGCGGAATATACATAACTTATGATAGACATAAAAAAAAGCAATTTCATCATAATTTTTCCTCTCTTTAACTGCATTTGAATTGGTTTTTGCATACATTTCGTTGTGTATTTCATATCAACGGTGGTGGAAGACACACAAAATCAAACATAATTTTTTCAATAAAAGTGACCACAAGACGAAAGATAGACAGAGAGTGCGAGTTATAGAAACGACAAACAGGAAAAAACAGACGAAGAAAAATAATAGACGCAAGCAAACCATTTGACCATTTCAAATGTGGATAAGAATTTGTGTTTTGTGAATTAAGTCCATTGAGCAGACAATTCCATTTCAAACGAGACGATTTGTGTTTTCATCGGTGGCGTCAAGTTGATTTTTGTATAGAAGTAGATCCATTCGAACCTGGTTTCATATTTACAGTGAATGAATACACCAATTCACCCATTTTACACACAAGTTTTCTGTGTAGCACATCGCACTGTTGGTTACGTTTCATCTGCGGAAATTGTCGTTTGACCGAGCAAATTTATTAACAAACACAAACTACACAACACATCTCGCTTCAGTTCGCTCATTCACTTTCTTGACTCTAAGCTACGGCCCCACGGTTGCTGTTACTGTTGCTCGATTCGTGTGTACGAAAGACCAAAACAAGTGCGACTCGGCGAATCTTTGCTTGCCAAAGAGACGGACATATGGAGAAAAAAAAACAATAATCATAAGTGAGTGATTCAAGAGAGAGAGTGTATTTGTGTGTGCAGTTAACAAAAACTGAGCAAAAAATAATACTGAAAACGATTATAAAATAAAGTGGAAAAGAAATCGTTGTATCGCCAAATTAAGAGAAAAAAATTGTTTTTTTTTACGGACGCGCTGAATTAAAAAGTGCTGTACAAAGAGACATTAACAAAACAAAACGAACTAGAAACACAAAAAACAGTACAGTTAAATAATTTATTGTCTGTGTGTATTGTTTTTTTTCTCGCTGTTTGTCTTCTTTGCATTTTGATGTGACGCCTACATTTATTTCCTGTGCATACAAAACAATAAAAACGATAACAAAACACACATTGGACTGGCATTTTATAAACGGTGTGGCCGACATTCAAGTGCATTCACCGTCATTGCTCTCTAGTTCGCGACCGTATTTTAGTGGTTTTGACGTGTTGTTCTTTTTTATAGTGCAGAAAGAGGAGACGACAGAGAAAGAGAATTATCAACGTTCCAAAAAGCCCAGTCAATTAATTGATTAAGTCTCTTATTTTCGTTAACTTTAGGCCCACTTATAATCAGGTACAGTATAAAATTATGTACAATATAACCCACATTTATCAATTACGTTTTTATTTCGGCCTCTCTTCTACTTACTTATTTTTTGTTTCTTCTCCTTCCATTGCTTACTTCTCCAGTCCCATGGCATGTTATCGAATGCCATTTAACATAGACTCCTCTTTCTTACTTACTAAACTTATTTTGTTTTTTGAAACCAACCAAAAAAGAACTAACCGATAAAAACAAAAATCCCATTGTAGAATGCGTCATTTTTTTTTTTTTTTTCGAAAAAGTAAATTCCTTCAATGAAATTTTATTTGAGTTTCTTTTTTTTTTGTTATCTTGGACCACACTCAATTTTCACTCACACAAATACAAAAACACACGGCCAAAACAAACAATCATTGAAAGACACCCATGCCGATGTTAGGTGTATATTTGCGTTTATTCCACTTTTTTCCCTCATACACTCTCAGCGTATGTGTATATATGAAAATCGTGTTTTGATCTTTTCACATTCGTCTAACATCTTTCTTCTCTCTCTTTCTCTCTTTTGGTCGTCTCATTGATTTGACTTATAATTAAGTGATTTGTTTGCATTTCCTCAATTTCTATCTCCCGATCTCCAGCAAATTAACACCTTTAAACGATGTTTGACCCAATGAATGAAAAACAAAAATTTCCTCTTGTAATTTATGAATGTATAAAACTATTGTATATCTATGCGTTGTGGCTATGTTTGTCTTTATCTATATTTGGATGTGGCAGTTTTTGAGTATTCAGGATGTGGCGGTTTCCTTTTCTGCTCAGGTTTAAATATCTAAAAACATAAGTATGCTATTTGTTATTTTTTTCCGCAACGAAAATGCAATAGTTCATAAGAACTGGCATAGAATTTTCGAACGAAAAAAAAACAGGCCAACGTAAAATGACTTATCAAAGCAGCTAAAAGCAAAATCGCTTAAGCTATTGTATTTAGTTAAATGCAACATACTTGAAAAAATCAATCAATAGATAAAAGAAATTGGCCATAGAGAAAATAAGAAAAAATAGCGGGCATTCCATGTCTTTCCGTGGCCAGTGTACAGCAAGAAAAAAAATGTGGTTAAAATGCTTGTGCCAATTCTTTTGTTTTACGGTTTTTTTTTTAATTTTCTGTTGTTCATTCGTTCATTCTTTCCCGAGAGCCATTGTTTGGTCATAGGATACTTCCGCCGCACATAATAATACATTATGCAGACGATACTCTATCTAGTGTGTGTATGTGTGTGTGGAAAAATCGAAGCCAATTTTCGACGAAAGATCGGTGAAGTGGCCCGGTTTCTCGGTGGCAATGCATTTTCTTTCTCTGTTCGGTTGGTTTTGTTGCGATTCCGATAAAGTACGTTTGTATAGGTACGTTTGTTTACATGCATGTTAGCAGTCAAACATAACACACCAAAAACATAGAAACAAAACATACAGCAAAAAGAGAACCACATTCTTGGTGGCCAAAGCGCAGACGCGGCGCATATCGTGTAAACAAACCATTGTGTACAGGCCTCATTGTTGTTGGGATGTGTGTTGTTGATGTTGTTTTTTTTTTCTAGCTCATTCTCCCGTTGTCCATTTCACACAAATACACACATGAAAGTACCACGAGTCTCGTTTCGTTCACAACATGACTTTTTCGCCCTGTTTTTTTTCTCTCCTTTCTCTTTGATTGAACACTACTCGGTTGCTATTCGTTACGTCATATTTATTTTATTAGTTCTAATGCTATGAATATTTTAACAGATCTATAACCACTTTCCACCAATTCGCCATTATCGCTTGATTTTTCAACATTTCATACGTATCATGGCGGTTTCAACTGAAATTTAACATGGAATTCCAACAAATATATAGTGTACTAGTCCATTGATAATAAATCGACGGATAAATGAAATCCGACCGATGAATTATCATACGCATTATCTAAATTAGCAATGGAAAAATGTGAGAATTAGAAAATACCATTGTATGCGCGCGCTCGCCGCTTCTAATTTCTGATAAATTGATCGTTGAAAATCAAAATTAAATAGCAAAAATTGTGGTAAGAGTTAATTTCCTTTTGGAAATGATACGGCTCTTGTTGTTGGTTTTTGTAACTCTTCAAATTCATTCGATTAATTGGCTGTGGATGCTTGGATTTTGGTTTGATTCGTTTCGAAATCCGATATGGATCTTCACTTTGGTGCGGCGAACGATTTACACACAGACAATGGCACACGCACAGAATGATGATATGCCGAAAGATGGGCATAAAGTGGAGAAAAAAGAGCGTTTAACATTACATATTTCCATAACAAAAAACACACAACTTTTTTTGAATGAATTTTTTTTCGTGTGTGTGCTGCTTGTTTCCAGCGTTTATTTCTTGCAATGAATTCTTTCGTTCGCGGTACGCCCACAATTTTGATCAATTTTTCTCTCTCTCTCTCTCTTGCAAAAGAGCATAATATCACGTAAGATGTGCACAATTATCGAAACTATTTCAAATATTCCATTTTTGTGGTTGTTTGTTTTTCTCTCAATTTCGATGTTGCGTTCATTTTCTGCCTTGGCCGGAACATTTCATTGCTGGCGCGAACCGTGTGTGTATGTGTTTAAACTAGAAAATTTCTAGTCACATGTGTATTTTCTCTTGATGTTAATTTTACTTGTTGCTGGTTGACCTCAGCCAAAATAGTTGCAATATTTTACTTTAATTAAATGTCTCCCCACGCAGCAAAACATATAGATATAAATTTTATCTGAACGCGCTGCGTTCTGTGTGTGAGCGGCTTTATTCGAGACTGTCTTTCGCTACGACTCGGTTCGCGTTTTCATTTATTCATTTCAATTTTATGTTCGAAATTGCGCTCTCTCTCTCTCTCTCTCTCTCTCTCTCTCTCTCTCTCTCTGTGCTGCGAGCTCAAGCGCGTTTTGCTGTTGTTGTCTGTGCGATTTGCTTGCAATGTGCCGCACATGCGAATGAATCGAAACCAATTGTTTTGGAATTATGTCGTTGTCGTCGTCGTCTCGCAAATATGGGCTGATAAAAAGCACACATAGCCCGCCATCACACAATAGAAGAAAAGAAATGACACGTATCGCATGTGAAAAGAATGTTTATGAGTGGCTTCAATTAGGTAATTTAATTTCGCTTCATCTGTGAACGCTCACTGTTTCGTTTGTTGTTTTTACCATCGCCAAATGATGAATGCTTTTGCACTCGTTCAACTAATTCCATTCATTAGTAATTAAAATATGTTCTAAAGATACAGTCACACATACATGACGATATGTTCGGCATATTTATCGACCAAAAAACGACGAGAAAACAGAACAACGAACAAACAAAGGCAAGCTATTGACTCAGATTCATCGATGCTTTTCATGTGATTGAGACACACATTGTGATACAAAAAAAAAATGCAAAACAAATGAAAAGCTCGATACCCGGAATTGGGGTCATTCTCAATGGAGAATATGTTTCAATATATAATAATAATCGAGTAAAATTCAATGGCGGTGTACAATTACACTGTACATTGAATCAATCGAATTAAATAACGACAACGACGACGACAACAACTACAAAAACAACCGGCGGGCCCTGTTCGTTTTCTTTCTCCAGTGTCTCTCTGTATTCAATTGGTTCAATCGCAAGCGAGTGAGTTTCTTCTTGTAACGAAAAATTTCGAAGGAAAAACGAGCCCGCAGAGAGAAAAGACAGTGGACAGATATAAACTATCAGGTACATGTCATTCATAATATACAGCGCACCGTGCACATACATTGGGAGCGTTTTTGTTGCCATCGCACCGCGTTGTCATCGATCGCTTGGTTGTTAATACAGTTGCTGTTGTTGCTGTTATTAGTATTTTCAACCGGCTGACTGAGCACAATTCTGAAATGCAAAACACGAAGCCATATTTATATGGTAGCAATATTACGGTGCGCTTTACCCATTTCGTGTATGTATGCGTGGACATGTGTGTGTGTGTGTGTGTGGGAAGTTTTGTGTTTTCTGAAAAGAGCAACTGATTTTTACTGATTCGTTTGGGGCCGGTTATACGATCCACTTTATGTATAACTATCTATCGAAACGACTTGTCTTTTTTCTCTCTCTCTCTATCCATGACTTGTCGATCGCTTTTTGAATAGATCTATTTTCCATTTCGAATTATTATCCGATTACTCATTCATAACATTTGGGTTTTGGTTGAGCGACATATAGCGATTTTCCATTCGCATTCGGATGTCGTAGTGCAACGTCGGATCAAAACGGAACAACAGCATGGCAAGAAATGAAGAAAAAAAAAACAATTGTTAGCCGCATCAAGGACAGGAAGCAATTTAATACTTCTAAAGGATAAATCAATCCGATTTGAAATGTATATATTGAAAAATGGCCCAAGTATATCTGTTTGGTGGCAATATTTCTGTTTTCTCGTGGCTTAAGATTTAATTTGAAGGGGGAAGAGAGAGAGAGAGAGCAACAGAAAAAAAACACCCACAGCACTCTTAGTCATGATGAATAACACACGCTCGTGAATAATATAATACGTATGAGAAATTGTGACGGCCACAGAACCGCCATAAATTAATTTCAAAAGAAAAATTTAAGCCAAGAAGATGAACTGAATTGCATATTCTTGTTCTGTTGCGCGGTTTCTTTCTTTCTACGTATTTCGTTTCATTTGATCGGCGTTCCAATTTTGGAAGTGAGTGTGCCGTGATTGGTGCACAATACCGACTCATTGGAAAAATTAATGGCAGCAATTGCGGTGAACAATATTAACACTGACGAAAAAAAGCAGCATGGAGCAGCATTTAAAATACGATCACGACCTCTTCCCTTTCGCCGGCTTTTAAAGCCACTTTACCATACAACCGACCGAGAAAAAAAAACATTCCAAAGAAGAATATCATCTTTATTTAACGCCTATTTGGGTTTAATTTTTCGTTCATCTTCCTCTGCAATCTCGCTCGCAATTGGAATATATGTGTACACA